GGCTGAGTCTGCCGCTGCAGCGCAGATCCGTCCGGGGAAGGGCCGCCGCCCCAAGGCTGGGCGCGGCGGTGGGAGTGGCGGTGCAGGTGGAGGTGGTGGTGGAGTCGGGTCGCCTAGTGGTAGCGCTGACGAGGGGACCCTGACAGGTGCAGCTGAGCAGCCGTCTCCACAGCCGCAGGTGTCGCAGCCGGACACGCACCAGCCGCAGCAGCAGCCCTCGCACCACCCGCAGCAGCCGCAGCAGCAGAGGAGGGCGGGCGGCCTCCCGCCCGGGTGGCCTGGCGCTGCTGGTGGCGCTGGACGTGGTGGTCGTGCGCGTGGTGGGCTGTCGGGTGGCGGGTCGGGTGACGCACGCTGTCAGTACCAGCTCCTGACCGGTCCTCGCCGTGGCTTCGTTTGCGGTAAGATCGGTCACACCTCCGTCCACAATTTACGTCGCTTGGACGACCTGTTTCGTCAGCGCTTTGGCCCGGCGCCCGACCTCCCCGACTGGCACAGCTTGCTTCGTCGTAGTGTTTAGATCTTTGATATGGACATGGATGAGATTGTTGCTGCCTTGCATGTGATGTATGCTGATGACTCTTATGTGCCTGCCTCTTACTACCCCTTGTTGCCTAATGTAGCCATGCCTAGTTGTGCCTCCCCTGCTGCGTCAGGCATAGGATCCCCTGATTTCTTTAGCCTTGGATCTTCTATCACTACTCCGCCTCTGGCCGCCGCTGCTGCGCTCTCCTTCACCTTGGACTCTGGCGCGTCCCGGTGTTTCTTTCGCGACTCCACTACACTGACGCCGCTTCCTGCTTCTGCTGCAGTTTCTCTTACTGACCCCTCCTCCGGCCCGGTAGTCGCCCGCAGTTCCACCACCCTTCCCTGTCCAGCGGTTTCTTCGGGCTCTCTTACAGGTCTGCACATCCCCTCGTTCTCCAGGAACCTAGTTGGTGTTGGCTGCCTCCAGGACCTTGGCGTCACCACTACATTCCTTGGTCACGAGCGGTACGCTGTCTGTACCGAGGCCGCCACTGGTGCCCCCCTCACCACGTTCCCCCGGGACCCGGTGACCGGACTGTTCATACAGGACACCGCGACCCCCCCGGTTGGGACGTCCCCTCTTGAGGCTGCGTCTAGCCAGGTTGCTGCTGCCTGCTTCTGTTGGTCGCTCAGTCACCCGACACTCTTGTGGCACCACCGTCACATGTCCCAGCACGGTCTTGTCCTAGGTCTCCCAGGGTCGTTACCCCCGTTACCCTCCTTCCTTGCACCACCGTGCACGCCCTGTGTCGAGGGCCGCCTCCGCCATGCCCCTCACTCCTCTTCGTTTCCCCCTACCACCGCACCGCTACAGACTCTTCACATGGACATCTGGGGCCCCGCCCCCATCCATGGACCGCGTCGAGAGCGCTACTTTGTAGTGCTTGTCGACGACTACACCCGCTACACCACCGTGTTCCCCTTGGAGCGGAAGGCCGACGTGCCTGAATTTCTCATCCCGTGGCTTGTCTCTGCGCATGTCCACCGCGGTCTCCCTGTCCTGCGTCTCCACTCCGACCGTGGTGGCGAGTTTGCCTCTGGTGTCCTTGGTCGTTTCTGTCGTGCGGAGGGCATCACCCAGACGTTCACCTTAACGGACTCCCCGCAGCAGAATGGGGTCGCTGAGCGACGCATCGGTTTGGTCATGGAGGTGGCTCGCACCTCCATGATCCATGCCGGGGCACCCCATTTTCTGTGACCGTTCGCCGTTCGCTACGCCGCTCACCAGCTTAACCTGTGGCCGCACTCCCAGCAGCCGCGGGTTTCGCTGACCCTTCTTTGGTCCGGGTCTCCTGGTGACGCGTCTGTGTTCCACGTCTGGGGCTGCCTTGCTCACGTTCGTGCCTCTGGCACGGACAAGCTCACTGCCCGCACCCTCCCTTATGTCTTCCTCGGTTTCCCCCTTGACGCACCTGACTGGCACTTCTACCACCCGCTGTCTCACTGGTTGTTTCACTCTCGTGACGTCACCTTTGACGAGTCTGTCTCGTTCTACCGCCGCTTCCCCCACAGAGGTCCCCTGGTTACTCCCCCCCTGTTCCTGGTCACCCCTTCCCCGGTCGCCCCTGCCCCCCCCCCTCCCCCTCCCCGTCCTGCACCGTCTGGTGTGTCCCATGTCACCCCCCTCACGTCGGTTGTTCCGGTCGAGGAGTCTGCTGACTCTGGTGGTCCTGTCGCACAGTCCTTGCCGCCTGCCCCTCCCCTGGTGCCTCCTCCTCCGCCGCTTCCGCAGCCGCCGTCGCCACCGCTGTCGCCACCGCCGTCGCCACCGCCGTCGCCACCGCCGCAGCAGCCGTCGTTGCAGCCACCGCCGCCGCCGCAGCAGTAGTTCGTTGACTCTGGGGTGCTGGCGTTGGGGTGGGTACTAGTCCTGGGGTTCCTGCCGTGGCTTGTCCCGGCGGGCCTGGTGGTGGTACCGGGGCTCGAGGGGTTTCGGGCTCTGAGGGTGTTCCTTCTGGGGGTGCTGGAGTGGAGTGTTCCGGAGGTAGCCGTGGAGTAGCTTGCGCTCCCTGTGTTGGTGACGTGTCGCCGCAGCAGTAGTCGCTGTCGGTGTCCGCCCTTCGCCTGCTCGGCCTTCCGTCCCCTGACCCTGTGTCTCCTCCCCCGGACTCAGACTCTGGCTCGTCTTCCCCCTCGTTCCCCTCCTATGTCTCCTCCTCTGTCTCCTGACCCGACTCCTCTGTCTCACGTCTGGTCTCGCCGTCCCTCCCGTGCTCGCCCCGTCTCCCCTGTCCCGTGCTCTCACCCTATGTTGCTTCGTTCCCACGCGTCTCGTCCTACTCTCCTCCCGTCGCCTCCTCCGTCCTCCCTTGTTGTTGCGCCTCCCCCTTTGTCTGACTACCTTCGTGCCGCTCGTCCTCTTGTTCCTCGGGTCCTTGCCTCTCTCGTTACCGACCCGTCTGTTCCGGTCTCGTGTCTTGACGCTCTTGTCGCTGCGGTCGTTAAATTTGCCTCTACCCGCCGCCTTGACTACGCCACCGCTCTGGTCTCAGACCCTGCCTGTCCTCCGTCTGTCGGGGGTGCTCCTGCCCTTGGCAGTGATGTCTTGGAGGACCGCCAGTACGAGCTTGCTTTCCTGTCCGAGGCTGCTCCCCATCTCTATTCCATGCTGCTAGTCCCTGAGGGTGACCCAGATGCTTTTGACATCCCGACCCCTCGCACTTACGCTGAGGCTGTCTCGGGACCTTGGGCCTCTCAGTGGATAGCTGCCATGGAGCAAGAGATGGCATCTTGGAGATCCACCGGCACCTACGTCGACGCAGTTCCCCCACCTGGGGTGAACGTAATCGATGGCCGCTGGCTCTTCAAGGTGAAGCGCCCTCCTGGAGAGCCGCCTGTGTTCAAGGCGCGCTACGTGGCTAGAGGCTTCAGTCAGTGTGAGGGGGTGGACGTCTTTCAGACTTTCGCTCCGACCCTGAAGATGACTACTCTTCGGGTGCTACTGCACGTAGCAGCTCAGCGTGACTACGAGCTTCATTCCCTCGACTTCTCGACTGCGTTTCTTCAGAGCAGTCTACACGAGCAGGTCTACCTGCGCCGCCCTCAGGGTTTCACTGGTACCTTTCTCCCTGGGACTCACTGGCTCCTGCGGCGCCCCGTCTACGGCCTACGGCAGGCTCCCCATGAGTGGCACGACACGCTGCGTGCTACCCTTGCTGACCTGCAGTTCTTTCCGTCCTCTGCAGACCCCTCGCTCTTCGTTCGTGCTGGCCAGACTCCGTTCTACATCCTTGTTTACGTAGACGACCTGGTCTTCGCCACTGTCAACAGGGACGCGCTGGCCTCGGTGAAGGCAGAGCTGCTGAAGAGACACACCTGCACTGACCTTGGAGAGCTGCGCCGTTACCTTGGCTTGCAGATCTCCAGGGACAGAGCAGCGCGCACCATCACCCTCTCTCAGTCACACTTGGTGCGCCAGGTCCTTCAGAGGTTCGGCCTTCAGTTCTCCTCTGCACAGCCCACCACTCTGCCTGTAGACCACAAGCTCTCTGCTCCAGTTCTTGAGGAGTCAGTAGAGCCCAACGATACTTATGCAGAGCTGATGGGTTGCCTCATGCACCTGATGACTTGCACTCGCCCAGATCTCGCATACCCTCCTAGCATCTTGGCTCGCTTTGTGGCCACATGCAGACACCGACCTCAGCACTAGTCTGCTGCTAAGAGGGTTTTGCGCTATCTTGCAAGTACATCAGGCATGGGGTTAGTGCTAGGAGGGCGCAGGCCAGTGGTCCTTGCTGGGCACACAGATGCTTCGTGGGCAGACGACGCCGAGACCCTTAGGTCCTCGCAGGTCAACTGCTTTAGCCTTGGTTCAGGTGCTGTCTCGTGGAGAGCTATTCGCTCCTCGTCTGTTGCCCAGTCCAGTTGTGAGGCTGAGATCTACGCCGGTGCCATGGCGGCACAGGAGCTCCGCTGGCTGACCTTCTTGCTCACCGACTTAGGTGAGTGGCCTAGCTCTGCCCCAGTCCTGTACGCTGACAACAGGGCCATGATCCTCCTGTGTCAGGAGCCTCGACTTGAGGGCAGAGCGAAGCACATCCAGCCGCGGTACTTCCTCCTGCGCGAGCTACAGCAGCGTCGCCAGGCCTGCGTAGTACACTTGGCCTCCGGTGCCAACACAGCTGATATCTTTACGAAGGCACTTGCGCCTAAAGATCATCAGCGGCATTGTGTACAGCTAGGTCTTGTTCCTGTTGCCTCTCACCTGCTAGGGCCTTGATTGTGTATAGACCTATATATATATATGTTTTACCCTGACTGGCCTTGTGGCCCTTCCCCGTGGTTGGACTAGTAGTGCCTCCCTGGTCTTGTTCTTGTTGTGTCTGTACTCCTTTGACTAGTCTTTTGGACCCTTGTTTCAGAGGCTAGACTAGTAGTGTCTTGTTAGGCACTACCTCTATATCGTCTAGGGGGTGTGTCAAACATATCAAAATATGTTAGTATAGACAATATTGGTTTGTACTGTAGAGGGTACAACACTCTAGGCTATATTTCCCTGTACTCTCTCTTTCTAGTCATTATTCAGTTCTAAGAAGGTGAACCACATGCATTGGCCACTTAAGTTGGCAAAGGAGAAGTGAAAATGCGGGGACAAATCACCTAGGGCTTTGCTCTAGGTGTCAACCGTACACTTATCACAATCACAGCCATGGCCCTCAGCGAATGTAAAAAAGCCATGATGGAAGAGCACATTGATCTCATTGCCTCTTAGTATTACTTGCATTGTAGGCTACTTACACTTGAAAAAGGAACCTCAGGTCCTCTGTCGTGAGCCGTGATTTATTCATCATTGTAGCTGACTCGCCATATGCACTCTCGATCATGTTACGCTTGCGCTCCTGTTGTAGCAGCGAGGTGAAGTGGAGGGCGCCAAAAAATGGGGTGGGAGTGGGGGACATATGAGCTGAGGGCATAAAAGGAAGTTGTCATACACAAAGTGGATATGGATGTAGCACCAGCATTTGTTAAACACAAGTGCCAACTCCAAAGCCAAAAAGGCCAAGACTTTGTAGCAAGTTTTGACTGAGTGCCATTACATTCCTCACCTCACCTGACACAACCATCCCACCCACCTGCAGGCTGCAGCTCCTAAACTCCGTCCCCGATGGTGTCCGCAACAGTGAATCACGCCACGCGCACATGGCAATACTACTGGCCACCCACCATGTACTTCCACCCACCTGCAGCTCCAGGATGCGGTCCTCAATGGTGTCCGCCACGGTGAACCGGGCCACTCTCACGGGGCGTGTCTGGCCGATGCGGTGGGCGCGGTCGATGGCCTGATCTTCCACGGCGGGGTTCCACCACAGGTCCATCAGCACCACGTGGCACGCCGCTATCAGGTTCAGCCCCAGGCTGGCTGCCTTCAGAGAGACGAGGATCACCGTGATCTGCATGGGGTGCAGCGGGAGGAAAGGAGGGAGTTTGGGACTGTTAGGCTGGCAGCTAAAATTGACTTGTGTGATGAAGCAAGCGAGCAACAGCCTTGTCTACAGCAGCCGCTCGCACGGTCTCGTCTCATCCGGGCCAGAATTCCCTAAACAAGCCTCGGACGGCCACTGACCTCGGGGTCAGTGGTGAATGCAGCGATGGCCTTGTCCCTGGCAGCGACGGACATGGTGCCATCGAGGCGCACGTAGGAGATGCCAGCAGCGCCCAGGTGCATCTCCAGGAGGTCCAGCATGCGCGTCCACTGCGAGAACACGATCGCCTTCTCCCGCACCATGGTCCATTGAATCACAGAGCTTTCCACAGGGTTAGTCAATGCAGCAGCAGGAGGTGGAGGAGCGGGAAGGGCGAGAAGAGGGCGTTGAAGGGCAGCAGCAGGAGAAGGCACAGCAGGGGGTGCAGGGGCAGCCGGGGGTGCAGGTGCAGCGGGGGGTGCAGGAACAACGGCAGGGCCTGGGGGAGGGTACAGAGGCGGTGGTGGAGGAGGAAGAATGGGCTTGCTGTCAGTGCAGGACAGCTTCAAATCTGGGATATGGGGAGCACCAGAAGCATGAGAAGCATGAGAGGCATGAGAAGCTGGTGGCTCGTTTTGCAGTATCGATGTCACAGTACGTAGAGCAGATGCAAGCGCACCAGGTGAAACATGGCAAGCCCCAGCCTGCCCCGCCTCCTCCTGGTCACCTCTGATCCAATCCATACCCACGCCAGTCCTTGCACCACCTCCCTCCCTCGTCTCCTCTTTGCATCTCCCCCCGCCAGCAGCATCAGGTGCTGAGCTACGTGCACCAGGTGCAACTCCAGGTGTGGAAACAGATGCAACAGGTGCTGACTCAGGTGGTAGGTCGGATGCAAGCCCACCTGATGGACAACACGCCCCTCCGGCCCGCGCATTCCCATGCTCATTCACTTCCATTTTGACCCCTTCAGTATCAACCGATTCCGGTTTCACCATACTTGCTGCTGCTGCTGCACTTAAAGGCATCTCCTTTGTGTCGTCTGCTGCTGCCTCTTCCTCTACTTTTGCCTTTACTTTCGCCTCTGCATCTGCCGTTGCAATTGCGTCTGCCTCTTCCTCCAGCACGGCATTTGCAGCTATCTCTGCCCAGTCCGGCCACTGCTGCTGAGGAGGCTGTTGAGGCTGCTGCTGCTGCTCTTCCTGCTGCTCTTGTTGTTGCCATTGCTGTTGCTGAACGCTGTTGTTCCCGTCCCCCTGTGGCATCAACCCAGCATCACGTGATTCCTCCTTCACCTCAGGCATGCCTACACTCTCTCTTACCACGCTGTGCCTCACACCACCCATGCCCACACCGATGTTGGCACCACCTGCTTCCTCCTTCACCCCTCCCATGCTTGCACTCTCTCGTACATTCCTTGCGCCCGCGCCATGTCTCACACCACGCATGGCCACACCACCAACGCCGTCTCTCAGACCCTCACACCCAGTGGTGCTCTCTCCTAAACCCCCTACACCGGCACTACCTCCCGGGCCCCTTTGCTCCTCGTCCTTCGCCATCCCCCCGTTTGCCACAGAGGGAGGGGTGGAGGTGGAAGGATGAGAAGTGGGAGCGCCGGCGATAGGAGAAGGGCCGCGGACGTTGCACGCACTTGAACTGGGTGGAAGGATGGAGGGGAGTGATGAAGGGAGAGAGGAGGGAAGGGAGGAGGGGAGGGAGGAGGGGAGGGATGAAGGGAGAGATGGGGCGGGGGAAGAGGTGGGATGAGAAGCAGCTGAAGCACGGCCGGCAGGAGCAGGAGGAGAAGCAGCAGGCATGAGAGGGAGGGCGAGGAGGTAGTCCAGCACAGCACGGGTCTTGGTGGACATGCGAGACGGGGAGAAGAACACCGGGCCCTCCTCCTCCTGCCCTCCCCTTCCTCCTGCTGCAGCAGCTGCTATTGCTGATGATGATGATGGCACCGCTAACGTGCCGGCCTCCCTTCCCCTCCCCGACCCAAACCCTGTTCCAATCACCATCCCCACCGGACCCCCCTCCCCCTGGGCGCTTTCAATCTCAGAGAAGAGGTAGAGGGAGGAGGCTGACAGGGCCTTGGAGCAGCAGGGGCAGACCGGGGAGCCGTCGGACTGAGCCAGGTGCTGCAGGGCGCACTGCTCGCAGAAGGTGTGCAGGCACGCCGAGAGCACCGGCACCTCCGCTGCGTCCGCGCAGAGCTCACACACCGCCTCGCCCCCCACCCCTGCCACGTGCCGCACCAACTCCGCTCTCCTCCCCGCCGACAACCGCCCCACCGACCCCGCGAACACACTCCGTCTCCCACTTCCCCCACCCGCTCCTCCTCCTCCTCCTACCCCGGTCCTCCCTCGCCCCCCGCATCCTCCCCTGCTGCAGCCACTCCCCTCGTCCTCGGGCCTGTCTCGGGCAATGGGGATGCCTCTGGCGAGCGCGGGGTGGTTGCAGGCCTGGCGCAGACGCAGCAGCATGGTGAGGATGTGCATGTAGTTGCTCTGCACCGTCCCTGCTGCCGCATAGTCCTGGTGGGAGGGAGGGGGGATCAAAGGGGAGGAGCAAGGAAAAGAGAGAGGGCAAGTGTAAAGGAGGAGGAGAGGAAGCAGGCGCAGCAGCATGGAGAGGATGTGCCAGTAGTTGCTCTTGACTGTGTCCGCTGCGGTGTGGTCCTGGTGGGAGGGAGGAATGGAGCATCCAGTGGGATCAGATGTGAGCGGGCATGGAGGAGGGGGGAGGGGGGAGAGGGATGGGAAGAGGGGACTACAGCAGCATGGTGGGGATGTGCAAGCACTTGCTCTGGACTGTGCCCGCTGCAGCATGGTCCTGGTGGGATTGGAGGGCAGCGAGATGGGAAGCAGAGGAAAAGGGATAGCGCAGGGGTAAAGGAGGAGGAGAGGAAGCAGGCGCAGCAGCATGGTGAGGATGCGCATGTAGTTGCTCTGCACCGTCCCTGCTGCCGCATAGTCCTGGTGGGAGGGAGGGGAGAGAGGAGAAAGGAACAGAGAGGAAGCAGAGAGGGAATGAGGATGGGCATGTAGTTGCTCTGGAGTCTGGACCGTGCCCGCTGCTGCATTGTCCTCGTTTTAGAGAGGAGCAAGGACAGGAGAAGTGAGAGGAAGCAGCACGGAAAGCATGTACAGGCAGCTGCTTGCAAGATTGGATTTTACACGCAAAGAACACTGGATTTGATTGACTCAAGGCTGTAACAGCCCAGGTTTCGCTTCCACGGTGCAGGTAGGTACAATGACTTTTGAGTCGACTCAAAAGTCATCCAGGTACAATGCATCAAGCCACTCACATGGAACTGCTGCTGGTTACAATGCTTCAAGGGAGAAGTAGAAGGCTAGGAAATATTTACAGGATCAGAAGCGTTCCTCCCGGGTGACCTCCACTGCCTGCAGTCTGCAGAGGAGTCTATTTTTGAGGAGCCTCAAAAATATTTACAGGAGTCTATTTTTGAGGAGCCTCAAAAATATTTACAGGAGTCTATTTTTGAGGCGCCTCAAAAATATTTACAGGACCAGAAGCGTTCCTCCGGGGTGAACTCCACTGCCTGCAGAGCAAGCAGTCAGGCAGGCCATTTTTCTCAACAACGTTGACTGAGCCCACTCACATGGAACTGCTGCTTGGAGGACGCCTCGAGGGAGAGGTAGAAGGAGCGTTCCTCCGGGGTGAACTCGGCTCGCTGCAGCGCCACTAGGCGCGGCGGCAGGTTCACTATAGGCGCTCCCTTTATGCGCGTGGCTGATGGAGATGCACAGAGCAGAGAAGCAGGGGGCGTGGAATGATATAAACAAACTATAGTAATATGTCGTGTGGTAGGTCGCCCTACAGTTTTAAAACATTAATTATAGCAAGATAATTATGAAACTTTGAGATACAAGCATAATAGTTTGTACTAAACTGTGATTGTACACATTAGCATACATACATATATACTCAATACACACTAACTAAGGCAGTTGAGCAACATGAACAAAAATATGAATGGATAGGCAAGGGCTCACCTTTGGTGCGGCGCAGCATGATGGCGAGCAGCACGGCCTGCAGCCTCTTGAAGCCTTGCGAGGGGTTGCGAGTGATGGGGTCCTTGATGGTGGTGCGGAAGTGCGCGTACTCGTCGTAGGGGGCGAAGCGCAGGAAGCGCAGGTACGGGTACACGTCGTCCACCGCATTCTGCATCGGCGTGCCCGACAGGCACCACCGCCGCTTCGCCCTTAAAGCCCAGCACGCCCTCGCCACCTGGGGGATTGATGGGAGGGTGTGAATTGAGAAGACCCTGCAAGCCATGGCCAGACACGCACTAGAGCCTTTTACTCCTCACTGCCCAGTATGCTCTAGAGACCTGAGTACATGAGAGGTGGGGGGGGAAGGGGGGGGGGGGGGGATGACATATAGAATGTATGTGGATCATGTTTGCTCAGGCCATCTCATGGCACTCCATGAGGATGAGTTCATTGATCCACCCAGACAGACAGAGGGCATCTCTCACCATGTGATAATTGATCCACCCACCCACCCACCCACCCACCCACCTGCGTGTTCCTGTTCTTGATGGCCTGGGCCTCGTCCAGCACCACTCTCAACCACGCCACACCAGCCAGCGGACCCTGGATCCCACCACTCCCCCCTCCCCCTCCACCCCCACCACCTCCCGCCTTCCTCTTCCCTCCTGCCCCACCCCCAGCGATCCCCATCACCTCCTCCCACGACGGCTCCTTTACCTTCTCCCCTTTGCCCTTGCCACCCTCCCCTCCCCGGCCCACGTCCATGCCAACGATGGCATACGTGGTCAGCACCACGTCGTACGACGCCACCTCCGCTGCACTCCTCGTGCGCCCCGACCCGTGGTACACCAGCACTGACAGCCCCCTTCTTCCCCCTCCTCCTCCCCCTCCTCCTCCCCCTCCTCCTCCCCCTCCTCCTACCCCGCCTCCTCCTCTCTCCACACCTTCGTCAGTTCCCCAACCCCTGCCTCCCTCCCCCAAATCGCCCACCCTCTCCCTGATCTCTCGCTCCCACTGCCGCAGAATGCTGGTCGGACACACCACCAGCGTGCCGCCGCTCACCCGCCTGCCCCTGCCGCCACCACCCGCGCTGCCCGCTGCTGACGTGGCAGCAGCCGATGCTGCAGCTGCTGACGCGGCAGCCGCTGACGTGGCTGCGGCTGACACCCCAGGGGCTGCAGGCATGCCTCTGCTGCTGTTGCCTACTCCCAGTGGTATTGACGCCGCTTGCTGCCGTTTCTTCTCGCCTCTTCTCCCCCTCACCCTCTCCCTCTCCTCCTCCTCATCCTCCAAATCAACCACTTCCGTCTTGTTGCCCTTCCCCATTCCTCCTCCTCCTGCTGCTGCTGCAGCAGCATTACCAACACCAGCAGCAGCACTTGCACCAGCGCCATCTGTACCAGCATCGGTCAGCAGCAGCATCCGCCCCTCTTCCTCACAAAACCCCTTGCCCTTCTCCCTCTCCTTCCTCTCCTTCTCCCTCTGCTCCCACACCCCCAGCACGATAAGAGAGATTGTAGTGAGCGTCTTCCCGAGCCCCTGGTCGTCCGCCAGGATGCCCCCTGCAGGGAGCGCCGCCTCGCGCCGCCGCATCCACGCCACGGCCATGCGCTGGTGCGCCAGCAGCGCCACCGTCAGCGCCCCAGCCGGGATCTCCGCCTCTTCTGCTGTACCCGAGATGGAGAGGCCTTCCAGGATCTGGCGCATGGCGGCTTGGTGGTCGGAGGGGGGCCTGGATGGGTCCGAGGGGGGCCTGAATGGGTCTGGGGGTGCGGGTTGATGGGGGTGCTGGTGCAGGTGGGAATCGTTGTAGTGGTGACTGTGATGGTGGTGGTGGGAGAGATGAGGAGGAGGAAGATGGGAGGACGAAGATGCAAGCGGGGGATAGTTGTGACCAGGTGGGATGTGGTTCTGTGCGGTTCCCGCATCTACTCGCATCCTCTTGGCTGCTTGCTCCCCTTCCCTGCTCCCGTCCGTGTGGGCCCCATGCCCCTCACTGCTCGAGCCTCTGATGCTTGCTGGCAGCTGCCTATATGCCGGAAGCGATACCACCTCCGGTAGCACATGCGCTGCATGTGGTGTGTGTGCTTGCTGTGCTACATGAGGCGGTTGTGGCAGCCGCTGCACCAGCCCCTGCTCGCGGATACTTCTGAAGTGCTTCAGCACATGGGCCGCGCTCCTCCTCCTCGCCTCCACATGCTCTCGCCTCGCTGCCTCCCGATCCACCCCTCTCCCCCTCCCACTCCTCCCCCCACCCCTCCTCTTCCCCCCATCCCAGCCCCAAACCACTGCTGGGCACTGCCACCCTCTCTTTCTCTCCCCCTTCTCACTTCCTCCTCATCCTCGTCCTCTTCGTCGCCGTCCTCGTCTCGAATCATTACTCTCTCTCCGAACCTCCCTCGCACCTCCTGCTCTAGCTGCAGCTGCTCCCTCGCCTCCTGCAGCTGCTGCTGCTGCTGCTGCCAACGCCAAGCCTGCTGCTGCTGCTGCTGCTGGGCCTTCTGCTGCGGCGGCTCATAGGCCGCCTTCCACTTCCCCAGCTGCCTCCACTCCTGACTCACCTCATCATCCAACTCATCCCCACTCCCCTCACTCACCACACTAACCACACTCCTCTCACTCCCCTGACTCCCCGCCTCCCCCTCTCCCCCCTCAGTTCCCTCTGCAGCCGTCCCTTCCCTCTCCGCACCTCTCCGCTCCCTTGCCTCCCGCCTCCCACTGCCAGCGCCCGTCCCTGACCCTAAACCTACCCCTACGCCGCTTCCCATTCCTCCTGTCATCCCCTCGGCCATGCCGGTCACTGCGCCGCCCACCGCGCCTCCCATCGTGCCGCCCGGCATGCCGCCCCCCATGCTCCTCATCATCTGGCGCTGCGCATTCCTGAGCCTCGCCTGCAGCATGGCCTGCTGCACCTCCTGCCCGCTCAGCTCCACCACATCCTCGTCCTCGTTACTGCCTGCTCTGTTACCAGTATACCCCCCCCTGCTGCTGCTCGTGTTGCGGTTCTTCTCGTTGGCGTTCCTCCTGCCGCCACCCACCTGGTCCTGCTGCTGCCGCCCTTGCTGCTGCTGCTGCTGCTGCTGCTGCTGCTGCCGATGCTGCTGCTGCCACAAAAGGTGCTGCAGCTGCTGCTCTGCGAATTCCTTATCACTGTCGTCATCATCATCATCATCATCATCTTCATCATCGTCATCGTCGCTCAAGCACACCACCTCCATCTGCCGCGGTGCTGCTGACGCACTCCTGCCTGCCGAACTTGGACCACCAGCAGCAGCAGCTACCGTGTTACCAGCAGCAGCACCTGCTGTATTGGAAGCAGCTGTGGTAGCGGCAGCAGGGGGGCCGTTGGTGCCAGTAGGAGCTAGATGAGGGCCCGTGGGAGCAGCAGTAGCAGCATGGGCTGTAGCTGCTGCAGCAGGAAGGTGTGCCGTTGTGGTGCCAACAGCAAGAGGAGCAGCACTGCCATCATCAGTGGGGATGGCACTGCTGGCGGCAGTGACAGCAGCGGGGCGAGCATCAGCCGCATCAGCGGCAGTAGCAGCAGCAGCAGCAGCAGCAGCAGCAGCAGCAGGCGTGTTGGTGGCATCACCCGCAGTCTCAACGGCATCGACACTCATTGCAGCAGCATCGGCAGCAGCAGCAGCATCAGCAACATCAGCAGCATCGGCATCGACACGCATTGCAGCACCCTCATTATAGTCATCTATTCCTAAACAGCCATCCATCCCCACACCACCATCCACCCCCACACCACCATCCACCCCCATGCCACCATCCACCCCCATGCCTGTACCGCTCACATCATTTTCCGAACCCACCCCATACCCATGCATGTGTTGCTCCTCCTTTTCCTCGTCCTCCTCATCTCCCTCCTCACTCTCACTTTCACTACTCTCACTTTCCCGCTCGCTCTGACTCCCCTTCTCGCTCTCACCATCGTTCTCCCTCCCCGCCCTCCCTGCAGCGCTACCAGCGTCTGCTGCACCCATAGCGTCTGCACCCATGGCGTCTGCAGCACCCATGGCATCTGCAGCACCCATGGCATCTGCAGTACCCATGGCATCTGCAGCACCCATGGCGTCTGCAGCACCCATGGCACCTGCAGCACCCATAGCGGCAGATATCCCTTCAAGGGCATGGTCAGACAACCCCATGTCCACAGTGTCAGGTAACCCTAATGTAACATGGTTAGGTAACCCTATCTTAGCATGGTCAAATAACCCTCCATCCATACCACCTATTTCAGGCCCAGCCATATCACTGAGCCTTCTTCCATCACCGTTGATTCGACCTGTCGTCTCACCATCGACGGTTGCGATGTCCTTAAAAGGGCCATTCATTCCATCATCAACCCCGCCCTGGATACCACCCTGCTCCTTGTATTCAGGACGAGAGTTGTCGACAAGAAAATCGGCATTCCCGTTAGAAAAGGCTCCGTTATTGCGACCTCCGTCCTCCTGGTTCATACACTCTCCTGCGCTATTTATCTGCCCCTCTACCGCGCCGGCTTCTTGTACTGGCGATCCCTGCGAGACGCCATCCAACACGAATGACGTGCCACGCGATGCTGCGGTCGACACGTGATGTGCTGACGTGGAGGGCATGGTCATGCTAGAGCACGCGACAGTGCATGAGGTAGGAGGAAGACTAACGCATCTGCTTCACGGTAAAGCGACGTAATTCTTGTTTTGGAAAGAAGCTACCGGTCCTGTCCGATGCTACGCTGAACACGTCACTCGAGCAACGGTACGAGGAAAGAGGGAGAGGGGCAGAGAGAAGAGAAAAGGTGGATAAACTAGTATTATGTTTAATAATTACTTATTTATCAGTTATACGTGGTCCCATGGTGTAGTGGTCATCACGTTTGCTTTACACGCAAAAGGTCACGAGTTCGAAACTCGTTGGGGCCAGCTATTTTGGGTTATTACTCGAGCATCGTACGGCTAGTTTTTGCGTCGTCCCTGCCTCTCAAGTATCCCCTTTCATTTTTCTTTCGTCGCGCTTGTTGAATCTCCTGAGTCTGCTGCTTACGTTCATAAACTACGCGCTCATTCCCTCAAGGCTTGGTCATATGGACGATGCTTGTATTCATAAGCCACTTGCGTCCGATTTCTTGGCCTTCGAATTCAACCCATTTGATCGCCTCCCAGAAGAGATTCTCGCCGTCATCTTCCGCCACGTAGCACCATCCGGCACGTCCTTTCAGCACGCCTTGGTGTGCTGGCGATGGCATCGCGCAGCGTGCCTGGCACAGTCGTCAGTCCACGTGGCGCAATCTCGGAGCATCTCATCCCCGCGTCTCCTCCTCGCGCTCTCCCGCTTTCCGAGTCTCACGCACCTGCATATCGATCGAGGCGGGGTCGATTTTCTAGACGACGGATTCCTGAACATCCTCGCTAGTGGTGCTTGTAACAGTTGTGACAATAGCGAAGACCGTTGCGAACGACCACCTAATGAGGACGAGGCGAAGGAAAAAGCCGAGGAGGAAGAGGAAGTGGAGGAGGAGGGGAGTCTTGAGGAGAATCTTCGTTTTATTGGCGCTGGGCAGAGTGACGAGGTGGGCGGCACAGGTGTTGGAGTGGGCGGCACAGGTGGTGGAGTGGGCGGCACAGGTGGTGGAGTGGGCGGCACAGGTGGTGGAGTGGGCGGCTATAATAATGTGCTCCGTGGCCTACATTCCTCCCTTGAGAATACGAGCATCGCTGCCAATGTTATCCGCGCAGCAGCACGCCCTGGTGGCGCATCCCCGCTCCCAGCCACCATAGCGCCCTCCTCAGCCCCCTCTGAAGCGCCGTCGCTGCTCCCAACCCGCCATACTCCCCCGTCCCTCCGCTCTCCCCACTATTCCCACCCTCACGTCGCTCCTCTCCGCTCGCTCTTCCTAGCCGAGGACCCTCGCTCGCCGCGCATCACATCATCCGGCCTGGACGCCGTCCTCCTCCGCTGCCGCCTGCTGCACTCCCTCGCCCTGCACTGCGCCCGTACAGTCACCGCCCTCCCCGCCTCTATAGTCACACTGCCTGCACTCACATCCCTGGAGATTCACATGCCCTGCCTTGGCATTCTTCCTGATAATTTAGGCGCCCTTTCCGCCTTGACTGTGCTCCGGCTACAAAGCCCCAGTCTTAGTTCTCTGCCCGAAAGTCTCGGGCAGCTGAAACTATTGCAAGAGCTCGCTCTCCGGTGTTTGTCAGCCCGGAATCTGCCTGACTGTGTCGGGCAGCTTACCAGCCTGACCTGCCTCACCATCGAAAGCTGTTCTTTTCAGCACCTGCCCGAGTCTCTGGGCAGTCTTCATTCCCTGACCTCCCTTCGCCTCTCCTCTCTTGAATTAGTTTCCTTGCCCGAATCAATCGGCCAGCTTTCCTCCTTGAAACATTTTATCCTGGACAAAATGGCCGTCACAAGCCTGCCCGAATCCCTCGGGCACCTGCAAAATCTTTCCGTGCTCCAGTTAAACGACTGTGATTCCCTCCTCGCCCTGCCGAACTCCCTCTTCACCCTGCCGTCTCTATCCACCCTCCTCATTGGCTGCTGGTCCCTCACCGCACTATCAGACAAAATCGCCCACTTGTCAGCATTGGAACATCTCGAGCTGAACTCCTGCGAGGGGCTCATCGCCCTTCCAGAATCCCTTTCCCAGCTGCCCGTCCTAAAACACCTCGAAATTTCCGGCTGCCCGTGCCTGAAATCCCTTCCGGCATCTCTAGGTCAGCTGGAGCAGCTATCCTCTCTGGAAATTCACAACTGCGACTCGCTCACTCTGCTTCCAGACTCGCTCCCTCTCCTCTCGGCCCTCTCGCGCCTCGTGATCGTCGGGTGCACGCACTTGAAGGAGCTACCTGAAAACATCGGGGGATTGAGGAGTCTGAAGGTGGTGGAGTTGGGGCTGTGCAAGAACCTGAGGGCTCTGCCTGAGTCGATCACGGGGATTGTTGGGCTGGAAAGAGTGGTGGTGCTCGGGTGCAGGCGGCTGGAGAGGGTGCCTGAGGGGATTGGGCAGATGCCAGGTATAAAGGAAGTGATGTTTAAAGAGTGTGACGCTCTTGTGTGATGGGTGGCACTGGGGGCTGCGGGGATTGAGGGTGCTGGGGTTAGGGTTGTGCAGGAGCCTGAGGATCCTGTGTGGGTCAATCACAGGGATTGTTGGGGTGGAGAGAGTGGTGGTGCTCGCGTACAGGCGGCTTGAGAGGATGCCGGAGGGGATTTGGGAGATGGCGAGCATAGGAGAGGTGGTGCTCGATGCGTGTGACGCCCTCCTGTGATGCTCTTGCGTGAGAGAGATTTGCTGGGCTGGAAGGAGTGGTGGTGCTTGGGTTGGGTGCTGCTGGCTGGCTGGCCACTTAAAAAGCATTTCGATGAACGCGGATGCCAGGCGTGCGAGAGGTGGTGGTGAAGAGGTGTTTTGGTATGTGTGCGGGTATGTAATCACATGGTGTGCTTCACACCCTGCCTGCCTTTTAAATAACCAAGCAAGCCTGTCGTGACATGGCATTGAATCATGTTCATTCCACTCATCAAGGCTTTGTCTGTGCAGCTGGTTTCGTGGACTACATGTATTGCACACTATGGGAAGCTATTGCCTCAGCATAGTAACCTTGCTGGTCCTGCGCTGCTTTTAATAATAGTACCATGTGCTTTCAGAAGTATAATGCCTGCATAACACTGCTTGCTAGTGCAGCGAGACACTGCATAAGCCCCACCCGAACCCAACGCATGCAGCACAGCACAACCATGCGACTGCAGCAATGCACAGCACACACCATTGCAGCTCAAACTAGCTGCCCTGCAAGGATCAATGTTGCCAGCTCAATGATTGGGGTCCTTAACTCGAGGCGCCTCAAAGCATGCATGCAAACTCCATCACAGCACACCTTCCAAGCACCTGCTCCTCACAGCACCTGCTCTTCACAGCACCTGCTCTTCACAGCACCTGCGCTTCACAGCACCCCCTCACAGCAGCTGCCCCTCAAGGATCTTGGCCGCCCGCTCAATAGCCCTTGCCGCCCGGAAAATCTCATGCTGCACTGCCTTCCATCCCTCCTGATCTCCGTTACTGTCACTCCCCTCACTGTCACTCTCCCTATCATTGGCACTGCTCGTCCCAACCTCCACACCGGTAGCAGCAGCGCTCTCAGCATCCAGCGCAGCGCGGCGAGAGAAAAGCTCCTTCCTGGGGGAGTTGCTGTTTATGACATCAGCAATGGCATCTCGGATTCCAGGGAATGGCGACGTGGCGTAGTCGTTGTCCTTCTCAGGGCCGTACACCTGGCAGGGGATGTTGAGAACAAAGGAGGAGCGATCAACGCGTGGCTTTCTCAGGCGGTATACCTGGCAGGGAGGGCATGCAGTGATGGCGCTGGTGGAGGGCATGCAGTGATGGCGCTGGTGGAGGGCATGCAGTGATGGCGCTGGTGGAGGGCATGCAGTGATGGCGCTGGTGGAGGGCATGCAGTGATGGCGCTGGTGGAGGGCATGCAGTGATGGCGCTGGTGGAGGGCATGCAGTGATGGCGCTGGTGGAGGGCATGCAGTGATGGCGCTGGTGGAGGGCATGCAGTGATGGCGCTGGTGGAGGGCATGCAGTGATGGCGCTGGTGGAGGGCATGCAGTGATGGCGCTGGTGGAGGGCATGCAGTGATGGCGCTGGTGGAGGGCATGCAGTGATGGCGCTGGTGGAGGGCATGCAGTGATGGCGCTGGTGGAGGACATGCAGTGATGGTGCTGGTGGAGGGCATGCAGTGATGGCGCTGGTGGAGGCCATGCAGTGATGGTGCTGGTGGAGGGCATGCAGTGATGGTGCTGGTGGAGGGCATGCAGTGATGGTGCTGGTGGAGGACATGCAGTGATGGTGCTGGTGGAGGGCATGCAGTGATGGCGCTGGTGGAGGGCATGCAGTGATGGTGCTGGTGGAGGGCATGCAGTGATGGTGCTGGTGGAGGGCATGCAGTGATGGCGCTGGTGGAGGGCATGCAGTGATGGCGCTGGTGGAGGGCATGCAGTGATGGCGCTGGTGGAGGGCATGCAGTGATGGCGCTGGTGGAGGGCATGCAGTGATGGCGCTGGTGGAGGGCATGCAGTGATGGCGCTGGTGGAGGGCATGCAGTGATGGCGCTGGTGGAGGGCATGCAGTGATGGCGCTGGTGGAGGGCATGCAGTGATGGCGCTGGTGGAGGGCATGCAGTGATGGCGCTGGTGGAGGGCATGCAGTGATGGCGCTGGTGGAGGGCATGCAGTGATGGCGCTGGTGGAGGGCATGCAGTGATGGCGCTGGTGGAGGGCATGCAGTGATGGCGCTGGTGGAGGGCATGCAGTGATGGCGCTGGTGGAGGGCATGCAGTGATGGCGCTGGTGGAGGGCATGCAGTGATGGCGCTGGTGGAGGACATGCAGTGATGGTGCTGGTGGAGGGCATGCAGTGATGGCGCTGGTGGAGGCCATGCAGTGATGGTGCTGGTGGAGGGCATGCAGTGATGGTGCTGGTGGAGGGCATGCAGTGATGGTGCTGGTGGAGGACATGCAGTGATGGTGCTGGTGGAGGGCATGCAGTGATGGCGCTGGTGGAGGGCATGCAGTGATGGTGCTGGTGGAGGGCATGCAGTGATGGTGCTGGTGGAGGGCATGCAGTGATGGCGCTGGTGGAGGGCATGCAGTGATGGCGCTGGTGGAGGGCATGCAGTGATGGCGCTGGTGGAGGGCATGCAGTGATGGCGCTGGTGGAGGGCATGCAGTGATGGCGCTGGTGGAGGGCATGCAGTGATGGCGCTGGTGGAGGACATGCAGTGATGGTGCTGGTGGAGGGCATGCAGTGATGGCGCTGGTGGAGGCCATGCAGTGATGGCGCTGGTGGAGGGCATGCAGTGATGGCGCTGGTGGAGGGCATGCAGTGATGGCGCTGGTGGAGGACATGCAGTGATGGTGCTGGTGGAGGGCATGCAGTGATGGCGCTGGTGGAGGCCATGCAGTGATGGTGCTGGTGGAGGGCATGCAGTGATGGTGCTGGTGGAGGGCATGCAGTGATGGTGCTGGTGGAGGACATGCAGTGATGGTGCTGGTGGAGGGCATGCAGTGATGGCGCTGGTGGAGGGCATGCAGTGATGGTGCTGGTGGAGGGCATGCAGTGATGGTGCTGGTGGAGGGCATGCAGTGATGGCGCTGGTGGAGGGCATGCAGTGATGGCGCTGGTGGAGGGCATGCAGTGATGGCGCTGGTGGAGGGCATGCAGTGATAGCGCTGGTGGAGGGCATGCAGTGATGGCGCTGGTGGAGGGCATGCAGTGATGGCGCTGGTGGAGGGCATGCAGTGATGGCGCTGGTGGAGGGCATGCAGTGATGGCGCTGGTGGAGGGCATGCAGTGATGGCGCTGGTGGAGGACATGCAGTGATGGTGCTGGTGGAGGGCATGCAGTGATGGCGCTGGTGGAGGCCATGCAGTGATGGTGCTGGTGGAGGGCATGCAGTGATGGTGCTGGTGGAGGGCATGCAGTGATGGTGCTGGTGGAGGACATGCAGTGATGGTGCTGGTGGAGGGCATGCAGTGATGGCGCTGGTGGAGGGCATGCAGTGATGGTGCTGGTGGAGGGCATGCAGTGATGGTGCTGGTGGAGGGCATGCAGTGATGGCGCTGGTGGAGGGCATGCAGTGATGGCGCTGGTGGAGGGCATGCAGTGATGGCGCTGGTGGAGGGCATGCAGTGATGGCGCTGGTGGAGGGCATGCAGTGATGGCGCTGGTGGAGGGCATGCAGTGATGGTGCTGGTGGAGGGCATGCAGTGATGGCGCTGGTGGAGGGCATGCAGTGATGGCGCTGGTGGAGGGCATGCAGTGATGGCGCTGGTGGAGGGCATGCAGTGATGGCGCTGGTGGAGGGCATGCAGTGATGGCGCTGGTGGAGGGCATGCAGTGATGGCGCTGGTGGAGGGCATGCAGTGATGGCGCTGGTGGAGGCATGCAGTGATGGGCTGGTGGAGGGCATGCAGTGATGGCGCTGGTGGAGGCATGCAGTGATGGTGCTGGTGGAGGGCATGCAGTGATGGTGCTGGTGGAGGGCATGCAGTGATGGTGCTGGTGGAGGCATGCAGTGATGGTGCTGGTGGAGGGCATGCAGTGATGGTGCTGGTGGAGGGCATGCAGTGATGGTGCTGGTGGAGGGCATGCAGTGATGGTGCTGGTGGAGGGCATGCAGTGATGGCGCTGGTGGAGGGCATGCAGTGATGGCGCTGGTGGAGGGCATGCAGTGATGGCGCTGGTGGAGGGCATGCAGTGATGGCGCTGGTGGAGGGCATGCAGTGATGGCGCTGGTGGAGGGCATGCAGTGATGGCGCTGGTGGAGGGCATGCAGTGATGGCGCTGGTGGAGGGCATGCAGTGATGGCGCTGGTGGAGGGCATGCAGTGATGGCGCTGGTGGAGGGCATGCAGTGATGGCGCTGGTGGAGGACATGCAGTGATGGTGCTGGTGGAGGGCATGCAGTGATGGCGCTGGTGGAGGCATGCAGTGATGGTGCTGGTGGAGGGCATGCAGTGATGGTGCTGGTGGAGGCATGCAGTGATGGTGCTGGTGGAGGGCATGCAGTGATGGTGCTGGTGGAGGGCATGCAGTGATGGCGCTGGTGGAGGGCATGCAGTGATGGTGCTGGTGGAGGGCATGCAGTGATGGTGCTGGTGGAGGGCATGCAGTGATGGCGCTGGTGGAGGGCATGCAGTGATGGCGCTGGTGGAGGGCATGCAGTGATGGCGCTGGTGGAGGGCATGCAGTGATGGCGCTGGTGGAGGGCATGCAGTGATGGCGCTGGTGGAGGGCATGCAGTGATGGTGCTGGTGGAGGGCATGCAGTGATGGCGCTGGTGGAGGGCATGCAGTGATGGCGCTGGTGGAGGGCATGCAGTGATGGCGCTGGTGGAGGGCATGCAGTGATGGCGCTGGTGGAGGGCATGCAGTGATGGCGCTGGTGGAGGGCATGCAGTGATGGCGCTGGTGGAGGACATGCAGTGATGGTGCTGGTGGAGGGCATGCAGTGATGGCGCTGGTGGAGGCCATGCAGTGATGGTGCTGGTGGAGGGCATGCAGTGATGGTGCTGGTGGAGGGCATGCAGTGATGGTGCTGGTGGAGGACATGCAGTGATGGTGCTGGTGGAGGGCATGCAGTGATGGTGCTGGTGGAGGGCATGCAGTGATGGTGCTGGTGGAGGGCATGCAGTGATGGTGCTGGTGGAGGGCATGCAGTGATGGCGCTGGTGGAGGGCATGCAGTGATGGCGCTGGTGGAGGGCATGCAGTGATGGCGCTGGTGGAGGGCATGCCAGTGATGGCGCTGGTGGAGGGCATGCAGTGATGGCGCTGGTGGAGGGCATGCAGTGATGGCGCTGGTGGAGGGCATGCAGTGATGGCGCTGGTGGAGGGCATGCAGTGATGGCGCTGGTGGAGGGCATGCAGTGATGGCGCTGGTGGAGGACATGCAGTGATGGTGCTGGTGGAGGGCATGCAGTGATGGCGCTGGTGGAGGCCATGCAGTGATGGTGCTGGTGGAGGGCATGCAGTGATGGTGCTGGTGGAGGGCATGCAGTGATGGTGCTGGTGGAGGACATGCAGTGATGGTGCTGGTGGAGGGCATGCAGTGATGGCGCTGGTGGAGGGCATGCAGTGATGGTGCTGGTGGAGGGCATGCAGTGATGGTGCTGGTGGAGGGCATGCAGTGATGGCGCTGGTGGAGGGCATGCAGTGATGGCGCTGGTGGAGGGCATGCAGTGATGGCGCTGGTGGAGGGCATGCAGTGATGGCGCTGGTGGAGGGCATGCAGTGATGGCGCTGGTGGAGGGCATGCAGTGATGGTGCTGGTGGAGGGCATGCAGTGATGGCGCTGGTGGAGGGCATGCAGTGATGGCGCTGGTGGAGGGCATGCAGTGATGGCGCTGGTGGAGGGCATGCAGTGATGGCGCTGGTGGAGGGCATGCAGTGATGGCGCTGGTGGAGGACATGCAGTGATGGTGCTGGTGGAGGGCATGCAGTGATGGCGCTGGTGGAGGGCATGCAGTGATGGCGCTGGTGGAGGGCATGCAGTGATGGCGCTGGTGGAGGGCATGCAGTGATGGCGCTGGTGGAGGACATGCAGTGATGGTGCTGGTGGAGGGCATGCAGTGATGGCGCTGGTGGAGGCCATGCAGTGATGGTGCTGGTGGAGGGCATGCAGTGATGGTGCTGGTGGAGGGCATGCAGTGATGGTGCTGGTGGAGGACATGCAGTGATGGTGCTGGTGGAGGGCATGCAGTGATGGCGCTGGTGGAGGGCATGCAGTGATGGTGCTGGTGGAGGGCATGCAGTGATGGTGCTGGTGGAGGGCATGCAGTGATGGCGCTGGTGGAGGGCATGCAGTGATGGCGCTGGTGGAGGGCATGCAGTGATGGCGCTGGTGGAGGGCATGCAGTGATGGCGCTGGTGGAGGGCATGCAGTGATGGCGCTGGTGGAGGGCATGCAGTGATGGTGCTGGTGGAGGACATGCAGTGATGGTGCTGGTGGAGGGCATGCAGTGATGGCGCTGGTGGAGGGCATGCAGTGATGGTGCTGGTGGAGGGCATGCAGTGATGGTGCTGGTGGAGGGCATGCAGTGATGGCGCTGGTGGAGGGCATGCAGTGATGGCGCTGGTGGAGGGCATGCAGTGATGGCGCTGGTGGAGGGCATGCAGTGATGGCGCTGGTGGAGGGCATGCAGTGATGGCGCTGGTGGAGGGCATGCAGTGATGGCGCTGGTGGAGGACATGCAGTGATGGTGCTGGTGGAGGGCATGCAGTGATGGCGCTGGTGGAGGCCATGCAGTGATGGTGCTGGTGGAGGGCATGCAGTGATGGCGCTGGTGGAGGGCATGCAGTGATGGCGCTGGTGGAGGGCATGCAGTGATGGCGCTGGTGGAGGGCATGCAGTGATGGCGCTGGTGGAGGGCATGCAGTGATGGCGCTGGTGGAGGACATGCAGTGATGGCGCTGGTGGAGGGCATGCAGTGATGGTGGTTTCGGCTCTGATCAACCAATAATGGAGCTCGCTTCATTTGTACAGCATGATCATGATCCCTGCTTGGTATATTATAAAATTCAAATAATAGCAGTAACACACTTGGAGTAACATTACTACACACCTCACCAGGTGCTTGAACCACGTGTAGCGAGGTCAATCCTATGGCTGCGCAGAATCCCCCCCCTCTCTCCCCCCCTCTCTCCCCCCCTCTCTCCCCCCCTCTCCCCCCGCTCTACCTCCCTCTCTGCCAAAAACTCTCTCTCGCCAACAGACAGTGTCCCCACATCATTTTGGCTTGACAAAATCCCGAAACGAGTCACCTGAGGTTGAACGGTCAGAACAGGGAATGAGTCCGTGTAATTTTCCGCACCAAGGAGACCAAGATCGTCGGACGGAACCATGACGCGGGGGAGGATCAGATTTTGCAAGGGGTCGCGTGGTGGCGGCAAATGACGAACTGGTGGAGGGGGGGGGGAAAGGGGACGGCGCGGCTCTGATTCTGCCAATTCAGCGGGCGAACAACTTGCTCATAGTGCTGAGCAAGTACCGCATGGTGCATGAAGTCATTCAAGACGCCATCCTGGATGGTAATCAAAAGGGCAACCTGCCGTCACCACGGGCTGGCTCACTTCTTTTGTGCATTGGATTGCCCTTCTGGTTACCACCCAGGATGGCGTCCCGAATGACTTCGTGCGCCATGCGGCACCTGGTCAGCACAACAAGCACGTTGGTCGCCCGCTGCATTGTCAGAATCAGAGTTGTGCCGTCCGCTTTCGCCCCCCCTCCACCGGCTCCGCCATTCGCCGTCCCCTCGGGACCCCTCGCGGACCCTGTTCCTCCCTCACGTCGTGGTTTTATTCGACAATCTTGGCCTCCTTAGTGTGGAAGTTTGCATGGACGCATTCAACCATCTATAGCCTTGGGACGACCTGCACTTACCGCCCTCCCAAGCTGCTGCCTTACCACAGCACCATCCTGCATCTCGCCGCAACTCTTTCCACACTGAATCACTCACCAGGTGCTTGAACCACTTGTAGTGAGGCCTGATCCCATGCCCGTCCAGGAACCCCCTCTCTCTTTCTCTCTCTTTCTGCCCAGAACAGCTCCTCAACGCTTATAGTACCCCACAGCACCCCACAGCACCTCTCCACTCACCAGGTGCTTGAACCACGTGTAGTGAGGCCCGATCCCATGCCCGTCCAGGAACCCCCTCTCTGCCAGGAACAGCCGCTCGTTCACCCCATCCATTGCCTTGGACGACCCGCAGTTGGCACCTTCCCCAGATGCGCCCTCCATGGGGCATGCCCTGCCTCGCGTGCACCTGCTGCTGCTGCTGCTGGCAGTGATGTGCTGTGGCAAGGCATTGCCCATGGATGAGGGGAGGGAGTGGATGGCAACAATGAGAAGATTAGGAGAGGACGATGCGCGGAGGAGAAAGGGAGAAGGGGGATGGACGAGCGAGTAGTACGGCGGGTGCGGAAGAGATGGTGGGGGACGTGTGAGGTGAGGGGAAATGAACGGCATAATTTCAAAAGTCGGCAGAGCATAGCATGACATATTATACAGTGAATTAGATATTCACCGAACAATGCATTCCCGGGCATCTGCGTCAATGCTGTGAGTCGCAGCCAGGAGGCGAGAGACGGAGGCAACGGGGGGATTCTCAGAAAGAGAAGGAAAACCAGCACCAGCACAAGAAAGGGGGCACCAGCACCTTTACTACATTACCTACTATTCTTGCCATTCCAGCTCTCACTACTCTGCTGCATGAGAGTCAACGTGCACGCCTATCACATACTCAACTGCCTGCCTGGATGCTAGGGTAGAATAGTACACCATAAGACACCGGTACAGCTTAGTATAGCATAATAAAGTATATAAAACTCCATAATATCCCCAAAGGAGCGTGCCTGAGCCAGTAGGCGAGAGACGGAGGCGAGGAGGGGATCCACAGAGAGAAAGGTGGCAACATACCTGTGCGTGCTTTCATCACTTGCATCACAGCCCATGCCAGTGGCCCCATCACAGCCCATGCCAGTGGCCCCATCACAGCCCATGCCAGTGGCCCCATCACAGCCCATGCCAGTGGCCCCATCACAGCCCATGCCAGTGGCCCCATCACAGCCCATGCCAGTGGCCCCATCACAGCCCATGCCAGTGGCCCCATCACAGCCCATGCCAGTGGCCCCATCACAGCCCATTCCAGTGGCCCCATCACAGCCCATTCCAGTGGCCCCATCACAGCCCATGCCAGTGGCCCCATCACAGCCCATGCCAGTGGCCCCATCACAGCCCATGCCAGTGGCCCCATCACAGCCCATGCCAGTGGCCCCATCACAGCCCATGCCAGTGGCCCCATCACAGCCCATGCCAGTGGCCCCATCACAGCCCATGCCAGTGGCCCCATCACAGCCCATACCAGTGGCCCCATCACAGCCCATACCAGTGGCCCCATCACAGCCCATGCCAGTGGCCCCATCACAGCCCATGCCAGTGGCCCCATCACAGCCCATACCAGTGGCCCCATCACAGCCCATGCCAGTGGCCCCATCACAGCCCATGCCAGTGGCCCCATCACAGCCCATACCAGTGGCCCCATCACAGCCCATGCCAGTGGCCCCATCACAGCCCATGCCAGTGGCCCCATCACAGCCCATGCCAGTGGCCCCATCACAGCCCATGCCAGTGGCCCCATCACAGCCCATGCCAGTGGCCCCATCACAGCCCATGCCAGTGGCCCCATCACAGCCCATGCCAGTGGCCCCATCACAGCCCATGCCAGTGGCCCCATCACAGCCCATGCCAGTGGCCCCATCACAGCCCATGCCAGTGGCCCCATCACAGCCCATGCCAGTGGCCCCATCACAGCCCATTCCAGTGGCCCCATCACAGCCCATTCCAGTGGCCCCATCACAGCCCATGCCAGTGGCCCCATCACAGCCCATGCCAGTGGCCCCATCACAGCCCATGCCAGTGGCCCCATCACAGCCCATACCAGTGGCCCCATCACAGCCCATACCAGTGGCCCCATCACAGCCCATGCCAGTGGCCCCATCACAGCCCATGCCAGTGGCCCCATCACAGCCCATACCAGTGGCCCCATCACAGCCCATGCCAGTGGCCCCATCACAGCCCATGCCAGTGGCCCCATCACAGCCCATACCAGTGCCCCATCACAGCCCATGCCAGTGGCCCCATCACAGCCCATGCCAGTGGCCCCATCACAGCCCATGCCAGTGGCCCCATCACAGCCCATGCCAGTGGCCCCATCACAGCCCATGCCAGTGGCCCCATCACAGCCCATGCCAGTGGCCCCATCACAGCCCATGCCAGTGGCCCCATCACAGCCCATGCCAGTGGCCCCGCCCCCATCACAGCCCATGCCAGTGGCCCCATCACAGCCCATGCCAGTGGCCCCATCACAGCCCATGCCAGTGGCCCCATCACAGCCCATGCCAGTGCCCCATCACAGCCCATGCCAGTGGCCCCATCACAGCCCATGCCAGTGGCCCCATCACAGCCCATGCCAGTGGCCCCATCACAGCCCATGCCAGTGGCCCCATCACAGCCCATCCAGTGGCCCCATCACAGCCCATTCCAGTGGCCCCATCACAGCCCCATGCCAGTGGCCCCATCACAGCCCATGCCAGTGGCCCCATCACAGCCCATGCCAGTGGCCCCATCACAGCCCATGCCAGTGGCCCCATCACAGCCCATGCCAGTGGCCCCATCACAGCCCATGCCAGTGGCCCCATCACAGCCCATACCAGTGGCCCCATCACAGCCCATACCAGTGGCCCCATCACAGCCCATGCCAGTGGCCCCATCACAGCCCATGCCAGTGGCCCCATCACAGCCCATGCCAGTGGCCCCATCACAGCCCATACCAGTGGCCCCATCACAGCCCATGCCAGTGGCCCCATCACAGCCCATGCCAGTGGCCCCATCACAGCCCATGCCAGTGGCCCCATCACAGCCCATGCCAGTGGCCCCATCACAGCCCATGCCAGTGGCCCCATCACAGCCCATGCCAGTGGCCCCATCACAGCCCATGCCAGTGGCCCCATCACAGCCCATGCCAGTGGCCCCATCACAGCCCATGCCAGTGGCCCCATCACAGCCCATGCCAGTGGCCCCATCACAGCCCATGCCAGTGGCCCCATCACAGCCCATGCCAGTGGCCCCATCACAGCCCATGCCAGTGGCCCCATCACAGCCCATGCCAGTGGCCCCATCACAGCCCATTCCAGTGGCCCATCACAGCCCATTCCAGTGGCCCCATCACAGCCCATGCCAGTGGCCCCATCACAGCCCATGCCAGTGGCCCCATCACAGCCCATGCCAGTGGCCCCATCACAGCCCATGCCAGTGGCCCCATCACAGCACATGCCAGTGGCCCCATCACAGCCCATGCCAGTGGCCCCTTCACAGCCCATGCCAGTGGCCCCATCACAGCCCATACCAGTGGCCCCATCACAGCCCATGCCAGTGGCCCCATCACAGCCCATGCCAGTGGCCCCATCACAGCCCATACCAGTGGCCCCATCACAGCCCATGCCAGTGGCCCCATCACAGCCCATGCCAGTGGCCCCATCACAGCCCATGCCAGTGGCCCCATCACAGCCCATGCCAGTGGCCCCATCACAGCCCATGCCAGTGGCCCCATCACAGCCCATGCCAGTGGCCCCATCACAGCCCATGCCAGTGGCCCCCATCACAGCCCATGCCAGTGGCCCCATCACAGCCAGTGGCCCCATCACAGCCCATGCCAGTGGCCCCATCACAGCCCATGCCAGTGGCCCCATCACAGCCCATGCCAGTGGCCCCATCACAGCCCATGCCAGTGGCCCCATCACAGCCCATGCCAGTGGCCCCATCACAGCCCATGCCAGTGGCCCCATCACAGCCCATGCCAGTGGCCCCATCACAGCCCATGCCAGTGGCCCCATCACAGCCCATGCCAGTGGCCCCATCACAGCCCATGCCAGTGGCCCATCACAGCCCATGCCAGTGGCCCCATCACAGCCCATGCCAGTGGCCCCATCACAGCCCATGCCAGTGGCCCCATCACAGCCCATGCCAGTGGCCCCATCACAGCCCATGCCAGTGGCCCCATCACAGCCCATGCCAGTGGCCCCATCACAGCCCATGCCAGTGGCCCCATCACAGCCCATGCCAGTGGCCCATCACAGCCCATTCCAGTGGCCCCATCACAGCCCATGCCAGTGGCCCCATCACAGCCCATGCCAGTGGCCCCATCACAGCCCATGCCAGTGGCCCCATCACAGCCCATGCCAGTGGCCCCATCACAGCCCATGCCAGTGGCCTCATCACAGCCCATGCCAGTGGCCCCATCACAGCCCATGCCAGTGGCCCCATCACAGCCCATGCCAGTGGCCCCATCACAGCCCATGCCAGTGGCCCCATCACAGCTCATACCATTGGCCCCATCACAGCTCATACCAGTGGCCCCATCACAGCCCATACCAGTGGCCCCATCACAGCTCATACCAGTGGCCCCATCACAGCTCATACCAGTGGCCTCATCACAGCTCATACCAGTGGCCTCATCACAGCTCATACCAGTGGCCTCATCACAGCTCATACCAGTGGCCTCATCACAGCTCATACCAGTGGCCCCATCACAGCCCATACCAGTGGCCTCATCACAGCCCATACCAGTGGCCCCATCACAGCCCATGCCAGTGGCCCCATCACAGCCCATTCCAGTGGCCCCATCACAGCCCATACCAGTGGCCCCATCACAGCCCATGCCAGTGGCCCCATCACAGCCCATGCCAGTGGCCCCATCACAGCCCATACCAGTGGCCCCATCACAGCCCATGCCAGTGGCCCCATCACAGCCCATGCCAGTGGCCCCATCACAGCCCATGCCAGTGGCCCCATCACAGCCCATGCCAGTGGCCCCATCACAGCCCATGCCAGTGGCCCCATCACAGCTCATACCAGTGGCCCCATCACAGCCCATACCAGTGGCCCCATCACAGCCCATGCCAGTGGCCCCATCACAGCCCATGCCAGTGGCCCCATCACAGCTCATACCAGTGGCCCCATCACAGCTCATACCAGTGGCCCCATCACAGCCCATACCAGTGGCCCCATCACAGCTCATACCAGTGGCCCCATCACAGCTCATACCAGTGGCCTCATCACAGCTCATACCAGTGGCCTCATCACAGCTCATACCAGTGGCCTCATCACAGCTCATACCAGTGGCCTCATCACAGCTCATACCAGTGGCCTCATCACAGCTCATACCAGTGGCCTCATCACAGCTCATACCAGTGGCCTCATCACAGCCCATACCAGTGGCCTCATCACAGCTCATACCAGTGGCCCCATCACAGCCCATACCAGTGGCCCCATCACAGCCCATACCAGTGGCCCCATCACAGCCCATGCCAGTGGCCCCATCACAGCCCATTCCAGTGGCCCCATCACAGCCCATGCCAGTGGCCCATCACAGCCCATGCCAGTGGCCCCATCACAGCCCATACCAGTGGCCTCATCACAGCTCATACCAGTGGCCCCATCACAGCCCATACCAGTGGCCCCATCACAGCCCATACCAGTGGCCCCATCACAGCCCATGCCAGTGGCCCCATCACAGCCCATTCCAGTGGCCCCATCACAGCCCATACCAGTGGCCCCATCACAGCCCATGCCAGTGGCCCCATCACAGCCCATGCCAGTGGCCCCATCACAGCCCATACCAGTGGCCCCATCACAGCCCATGCCAGTGGCCCCATCACAGCCCATGCCAGTGGCCCCATCACAGCTCATACCAGTGGCCCCATCACAGCTCATACCAGTGGCCCCATCACAGCCCATACCAGTGGCCCCATCACAGCTCATACCAGTGGCCCCATCACAGCTCATACCAGTGGCCCCATCACAGCTCATACCAGTGGCCCCATCACAGCTCATACCAGTGGCCTCATCACAGCTCATACCAGTGGCCTCATCACAGCCCATACCAGTGGCCTCATCACAGCTCATACCAGTGGCCTCATCACAGCTCATACCAGTGGCCTCATCACAGCTCATACCAGTGGCCTCATCACAGCCCATACCAGTGGCCTCATCACAGCTCATACCAGTGGCCCCATCACAGCCCATACCAGTGGCCCCATCACAGCCCATACCAGTGGCCCCATCACAGCCCATACCAGTGGCCCCATCACAGCTCATACCAGTGGCCCCATCACAGCTCATACCAGTGGCCCCATCACAGCTCATACCAGTGGCCCCATCACAGCTCATACCAGTGGCCTCATCACAGCTCATACCAGTGGCCTCATCACAGCTCATACCAGTGGCCTCATCACAGCCCATACCAGTGGCCTCATCACAGCTCATACCAGTGGCCTCATCACAGCTCATACCAGTGGCCTCATCACAGCTCATACCAGTGGCCTCATCACAGCCCATACCAGTGGCCTCATCACAGCTCATACCAGTGGCCCCATCACAGCCCATACCAGTGGCCCCATCACAGCCCATACCAGTGGCCCCATCACAGCCCATACCAGTGGCCCCATCACAGCTCATACCAGTGGCCCCATCACAGCTCATACCAGTGGCCCCATCACAGCTCATACCAGTGGCCCCATCACAGCTCATACCAGTGGCCTCATCACAGCTCATACCAGTGGCCTCATCACAGCTCATACCAGTGGCCTCATCACAGCCCATACCAGTGGCCTCATCACAGCTCATACCAGTGGCCTCATCACAGCTCATACCAGTGGCCTCATCACAGCTCATACCAGTGGCCTCATCACAGCCCATACCAGTGGCCTCATCACAGCTCATACCAGTGGCCCCATCACAGCCCATACCAGTGGCCCCATCACAGCTCATACCAGTGGCCCCATCACAGCTCATACCAGTGGCCCCATCACAGCTCATACCAGTGGCCCCATCACAGCTCATACCAGTGGCCTCATCACAGCTCATACCAGTGGCCTCATCACAGCCCATACCAGTGGCCTCATCACAGCTCATACCAGTGGCCTCATCACAGCTCATACCAGTGGCCTCATCACAGCTCATACCAGTGGCCTCATCACAGCCCATACCAGTGGCCTCATCACAGCTCATACCAGTGGCCCCATCACAGCCCATACCAGTGGCCCCATCACAGCCCATACCAGTGGCCCCATCACAGCCCATACCAGTGGCCCCATCACAGCTCATACCAGTGGCCCCATCACAGCTCATACCAGTGGCCCCATCACAGCTCATACCAGTGGCCCCATCACAGCTCATACCAGTGGCCTCATCACAGCTCATACCAGTGGCCTCATCACAGCTCATACCAGTGGCCTCATCACAGCCCATACCAGTGGCCTCATCACAGCTCATACCAGTGGCCTCATCACAGCTCATACCAGTGGCCTCATCACAGCTCATACCAGTGGCCTCATCACAGCCCATACCAGTGGCCTCATCACAGCTCATACCAGTGGCCCCATCACAGCCCATACCAGTGGCCCCATCACAGCCCATACCAGTGGCCCCATCACAGCCCATACCAGTGGCCCCATCACAGCCCATACCAGTGGCCCCATCACAGCCCATACCAGTGGCCCCATCACAGCTCATACCAGTGGCCCCATCACAGCTCATACCAGTGGCCCCATCACAGCTCATACCAGTGGCCCCATCACAGCTCATACCAGTGGCCTCATCACAGCTCATACCAGTGGCCTCATCACAGCTCATACCAGTGGCCTCATCACAGCCCATACCAGTGGCCTCATCACAGCTCATACCAGTGGCCTCATCACAGCTCATACCAGTGGCCTCATCACAGCTCATACCAGTGGCCTCATCACAGCCCATACCAGTGGCCTCATCACAGCTCATACCAGTGGCCCCATCACAGCCCATACCAGTGGCCCCATCACAGCCCATACCAGTGGCCCCATCACAGCTCATACCAGTGGCCCCATCACAGCTCATACCAGTGGCCCCATCACAGCTCATACCAGTGGCCCCATGACAGCTCATACCAGTGGCCTCATCACAGCTCATACCAGTGGCCTCATCACAGCTCATACCAGTGGCCTCATCACAGCCCATACCAGTGGCCTCATCACAGCTCATACCAGTGGCCTCATCACAGCTCATACCAGTGGCCTCATCACAGCTCATACCAGTGGCCTCATCACAGCCCATACCAGTGGCCTCATCACAGCTCATACCAGTGGCCCCATCACAGCCCATACCAGTGGCCCCATCACAGCTCATACCAGTGGCCCCATCACAGCTCATACCAGTGGCCCCATCACAGCTCATACCAGTGGCCCCATCACAGCTCATACCAGTGGCCTCATCACAGCTCATACCAGTGGCCTCATCACAGCCCATACCAGTGGCCTCATCACAGCTCATACCAGTGGCCTCATCACAGCTCATACCAGTGGCCTCATCACAGCTCATACCAGTGGCCTCATCACAGCCCATACCAGTGGCCTCATCACAGCTCATACCAGTGGCCCGATCACAGCCCATACCAGTGGCCCCATCACAGCCCATACCAGTGGCCCCATCACAGCCCATACCAGTGGCCCCATCACAGCTCATACCAGTGGCCCCATCACAGCTCATACCAGTGGCCCCATCACAGCTCATACCAGTGGCCCCATCACAGCTCATACCAGTGGCCTCATCACAGCTCATACCAGTGGCCTCATCACAGCTCATACCAGTGGCCTCATCACAGCCCATACCAGTGGCCTCATCACAGCTCATACCAGTGGCCTCATCACAGCTCATACCAGTGGCCTCATCACAGCTCATACCAGTGGCCTCATCACAGCCCATACCAGTGGCCTCATCACAGCTCATACCAGTGGCCCCATCACAGCCCATACCAGTGGCCCCATCACAGCCCATACCAGTGGCCCCATACCAGTTCATACCAGTTCATACCAGTTCATACCAGTTCATACCTGAGCCTCTGTGTCAATGCTCTGAGCGGCAGCCAGGAGGCGAGAGACGGAGACAAGGAGGGGATCCACAGAGAGAGAGGGCGGGGCGCCTTGTGATGCCAGGTCAGACTGCAGCCTTGCCACGTCACGCTGATGTGCGGGTTCAGGGGGATGCAGGAATTAGAGAAAAGGAGAAGCTTGAATGTTGCATGGGCTCGTGTCGGTACATGCAACAATGGTCAGTGGTCACCGCACATCACCACACATCACCGCATGTCACCACACGTGACATCATCACTCACCTCCAGGTGTGTGGCAGACGCACTTAACCACTCGTCCCATGACCGCACAGATCTGCACTTCACCGCACTGCGCATCGCTGCCCCTAACCTCCAGGTGTGTGGCAGATGCACGGTGGTTGAAGTGAAGCCTATGGTCGCCTGGATAACAGATTTGAACCGACTTCTGAGGCGCTCTTTAAAGAGTCGAATTTGGGCTGTAAGTGCTTGCACACTCCTTGAAACACCTAACACTCGTCTCATAACCACACAGAACCGCCCTTCAATGCTCTGCACATCGCTCCATCTCACCTTCAGGTGGGCAGCATATGCGCTGTAGTTGAAGGGGCAGCCTTACCCACACACCCTCACAGAACCACATCCAACCTTAAAGCACTACTCACCCCCAGGTGGGCGGCATACGCGCTGTAGTTGAAAGGAAGGCGGTGGTCGCCTGCCAGCCTGGCAGCCACGCCAGCCATCATCTTAGCCACTGCCACGTGGCGCTTGAAGAGTGGATCGGCAAAGGTGGCCATCCAATGGTAGTTGTCGTACACGCTGTGGTACATGGGGTAGGCTGATGGGAGGGAGGGGAAAGGGGGGTGGGGAAAGGGGGGTGGGGAAAGGGGGGTGGGGAAAGGGGGTGGGGAAAGGGGGGTGGGGAAAGGGGGGTGGGGAAAGGGGGGTGGGGAAAGGGGGGTGGGGAAACGGGGGTGGGGAAACGGGGGTGGGGAAAGGGGGGGAAGGGAGGGGATTGGAGGGAGGAAGGGGAGATGAAGAGGGGGAAAGGAACAAGGTGCACTGAGTTCCCGCAGCCATCCATTGGCAGTTGTCTTACACGCTCTGGTACATGGGGTAGGCTGAACGGAGGGCAGGAGGGGCGCGGGATGGGGAGAGAAGCGTAAAGACTTGATCAACTCGCCCAGTAGCCATCCAGTGGTAGTTGGTTGGTGTGCACGCTGTGACACATGGGGTGAACTGGTGAGAGGGAGGGACGGAGGGAAGGAGGGAGGAAGATGAAACCAGAAGGGGGAAGTAACATAAGCTTACCGAGGTGCCCCCAACCATCCAGTGATAGTCGTCATTAGACTGTCATGCATGGGGGGCTTGCGTTTATACACTCTGAAACTCACTTTTCCCATAACGGCTACCCCCATCATACCCTCACACCATCCGTGCACATATCCCATCAAAATCCCCACACTGCCCCATCCACCTATCCCCCAAATTAGCTCATAACTCCGTTATAAGCTCATTTCCCCCCGTAAGGTCACACAACCCCCTTATAAGCTCACATCCTCCAAAATGTGTGTCAGCGGCGGCAATCCCAAGGTGCTGCAGGAATGCTGCGTAGTCGCTGCCTCCGCCTCCGAGTCGGCCCAACTGTGGACGGGGTGGGAGGGTGGGATGAGAGAGAGCGCAGGGAATGACAACAGCGAGCGAAGGGGGGAATACAAGGGAGGAGTGGGTCTCAAAACAGGGAGGCAAAATGACTCCGGGGTGGGCGATTATTGAGACATTTCACAACAGGGATGGGCGAGGAGGATGGGAGCGAGAGGGTGAGATATTGTGGCATACGCTGCGTTCTATGCACCATGCACCATGCGCCATGCACCATGCGACATGCACCATGCGCCATGCACCATGCACCATGCACCATCCACCATGCATCATTCACCGTGCACCATGCACCATCCACCATGCACCATGCACCATGCACCATGCACCATGCACCATGCACCATGCACCATCCACCATGCACCATGCACCATCCACCATGCACCATGCACCATGCACCATCCACCATGCACCATCCACCATGCACCATCCACCATGCATCCTCTATAACTTGCCTCAGGCTCTGACACGTTGTGCTCAGCCGCCCATCCCTCCAATAGCGACTGGCCGGCCGGGCCATCGGGATTGGCCACCTGATCAAGTGCAGAGCAGAGGATGAGGGCGGGGGAAAGGAGGTTGAGAGGCGGAGAGCGAACGAGGTGCCAAGCCAACAAGTGCGTGTGGATGACTCGTTTGCCACCACGAGGTGCGGTCACAGCCAAGTTGAAGGAGCTCATTTTTTAAGGATATCGTTAGGAGCTCATTTTTTAAGGAGCTCGTTAGCAGCTCATTTTTTAAGGAGCTCGTTAGGAGCTCATTTTTTAAGGAGCTCGTTAGCAGCTCATTTTTGAAGGAGCTCGTTAGGAGCTCATTTTTTAGGCGCTCACTGGAAGATATCCGAGCTAAAAAATGTGCTCACTGAATGCGCATGAATGCAGTTAATAACTCAAACGCACGATTTAGTTGTTGGATGACCAAACCGCGCCATCAGTGTCGGCATCACCTAACCTGGCTGCTGACGTCACGGATGAGGTCATCAAGCTGAGGGGTGGCGGAGGCGTGGAAGCCCCCTCCCCCCACCGCCACATCCACGTTGATATAGGCGATGGCTTTAGTGGCTAGCACAGGGGCGTTGTCCTCCGCCCACTCCGTTGACCCAAGCTGAGATGGGGCATCAAGCAAAACAAGGGAGAGAGGTGTATGTGCGTGTGTGCGTGTGGGCATTGAGCCAGCTAAAGCCCCCTCCCTCCCCCCCCTCCCCCCACTGCCACGTCCACGTTGATGTAGGATGGCCCTGGTGGCCAGCACTGGCGCATCGTCCTCCGCCCACTCCGTTGACCCCAGCTGAGAGGGAGGAATGAGGCGGGATGGGCCGGGATGGGGAGGAATAGGGCGGGATGGGGAGGGATGGGGGGGATGGGGAGGGATGGGGGGGATGGGGAGGGATGGGGGGGATGGGGAGGGATGGGGGGGATGGGGAGGGATGGGTAGTGGTGTGCAGAGACGGCAGGAACGAGATGTATTTGGGGGGAGAGGGTCTGGGAGGCAAAGAAGCCCCCTCCCCCCAAATACACCTCGTTCCTGCTGCCTCTGCCCACCACTATCCACGTTGATGGGCGTGGTGGCCAGCACAGGGGCCTCGTTCTCCGCCCACTCTGTCGATCCTGGCTGAGAGGGGGGAGTCTATCAAGGCAAGGGATGGGGAGGTGGCGAAGAGAGGCAGTGGGAGATCTTTATTATTTAATCTCCCCACATTACTATCACCTGCGCATCTGCATTATTTAGTCGGACTCAAAAGTCATCCCGCGCATCTGCACTCCTGATTTCTCTCCCCTTTACAAACACCCCCTTTAATGTCACACTCACACATCCATACTCCTCAGCGTCCCAGCTGGCGAACACAATGGAGCGGCGCGGCGACCAACCACGCGCTGCCATGTGGCCAAAGGCACGCGCGACCTGGCAGTGCGAAAGAGATGGGTGGAATCACAGCGAAGGGAGGCCATTGGTAGCTGGGATGGACGATGGATGATATTCGGGTTAGGGAGGGCAACAGAGGGCACACAGGGCAGGATACGGATGGCTCGAGATGCATTCTACATCAAGAGTGGAATCACAGCGAAGGGCGGATGTTGGTAGGTGAGATGGAAGATGTTGGGGTTAGGGAAGGATGGACGACATTTGGGTTCAAGGAAGGCAACAGAGGGCACACTTGTGTGGGATGGACGATATTCGTGGGTGATTTTAGAATTGACTCAAAAATCAGCTGGGATGGACGTTTTTCGGGTTAGGGGAGGTAAGAAAGAGCGCACAGGACAGGATACAAATGCCTCGAGGTGCATTTTGCATCAATAGTGGTACCTCGAGCGCAGACACGTGGTACCTCGAGCGCAGACACGTGGTACCTCGAGCGCAGACACGTGGTACCTCGAGCGCAGACACGTGGTACCTCGAGCGCAGACCCGTGGTACCTCGAGCGCAGACACGTGGTACCTCGAGCGCAGACCCGTGGTACCTCGAGCGCAGACCCATGGTACCTCGAGCAGACACGTGGTACCTCGAGCGCAGACACGTGGTACCTCGAGCGCAGACCCGTGGTACCTCGAGCGCAGACATGTGGTACCTCAAGCGCAGACCCGTGGTACCTCGAGCGCAGACACGTGGTACCTCGAGCACAGACACGTGGTACCTCGAGCGCAGACACGTGGTACCTCGAGCGCAGACACGTGGTACCTCGAGCAGACACGTGGTGCCGCTGTTGGGGTCTGCTGCCCCAAACACCCATGCATCGCGATGGTTGCCTAGGATGATGTACCTGCGATGGTGGTGGGAATGGTGATAGGGATGGCGATGGTGGTGGTGAGGATGGGGTCAGTGATCGTGTGGCATGGGGCAATCGGGCGGAGCACAACACGCATCGCGATGGTTGCGTAGGATGATGTACCTGCGGTGGGGATGGCATGAGTGATGGTTGTGGCGATGGCGATGGTGATGGGGATGGTGATGGTTTGGAACCAAAGCGGTGCATCCAATCCAACCATGCATTGCAACGGCTTCTCATTCTCCTGAGATTTTACAGAAAATCAGTAACAGCGGCATGCTAACAGCGGCATGCTAACAGCGGCATGCTAACAGCGGCATGCTAACAGCGGCATGAGCGGACAGCGGCATGCTAACAGCGGCATGAGCGGAGCCCATGTGGAATGTCAGATGGGTGGTTGAGTGGTTTGCTGTGCCATCCACCGCCCACCTGACAGCCTCTGATTTTCTAGAATCAGCCGCCACGCCGCCCAGTGCCCACCTTTCTGAAAAATCAGCTGCCCCACCACTCGCCTCCCACCGCCCACCGCCCAGCTCCCAGAGCCCACCTGTTTGCCTGGTGGCTGCCTGGCAAAACACCAATGACGTTGCGGATGGTGGTGACTGTGGCGTTCATCTGGGGGGGGGGGGGAGTATGCAGGAATGGAGGGGCTCAATACGTTCACATGCGCCTGCACCCTCCCAAACACAACACACTGGCTCACCATCACTCACCCTCACACACACTCACTCACACGCATTCACCCCCACTCACCCTCCTCTCACTCACTCCCTCACTCTCACCTGCACGTCCATGTCAACAGCAGCAGGCCCGGGCCCGAGCACATACTGCACGCCCTCCATCCCTCCCCCCCACCCCTCCGCCACGGCCGCTCCCCCCATGTGCGCCATAATGCCAGCAGCAACGGAGTACGACACCGGCAGCACTGGGATGCGCGGTAGCCGCTTGGCTGTTTCCTCGTCGCTCAGCCTCTCCCCTCCTGGGTGGGACGGCCAGCCGGGGGTGGCAGGGTCGCCCTTGCCTGGCAAAGAGGAGACCCACAGGGAAGAGGGGATTCAGTTGTAAAGCCCCCTTTTCCCATGTGCGCCATAGTACCAGCAGCAACTTAGTATGGAACTGGCAGCACCGGGCTGCGTGGGAGCGGCATAGCTGTTCTCCTCATCGCTCAACCTCTCCCCATCGAGGTGGGTGGGACGGCCAACTGGAGGTTGCAGGGTCGCCCTTGCCAGGCGGAAAAGGGGAGGAGAGGGAAGGGAGACAGTGTGTCTTCAATTCAAGTCAACTCACCAGCTGTAGCTTTTGAATCAACTGGTGAGTTTACTTGAATTGAAAAGCTACGCATGTGAGTCAACTGGTATGCAACATATCACATGCGTGGTAGTGCCATTCCAACTCTACCTGTGTACACAGTGCCTCGCTGCGCGCCACTGGCAGGCAGCCACTCCGCCTGGGGGTACAGGTGAGCAGCGTCCGTGTCCTCTGGCAGATAGTATGCGTGAAGTATATGCTGCACGTGAGCAGTTCCTTGCATCATGATCTATCCAACCAGTTTTTATGCGCCTCAAAACTAGTTGTGAGGCGCCTCAAAACTCTGGCAGATGGTATGCATGAAGCATATGTTCCTTGCATCATGATCTGTCCAACCTGCGTATACGACGTGTTTGCAACTCTACCTGTGTACACGGTGCCTCGCTGCGCGCCAGTGGCTGGCAGCCATTCCGCCTGGGGGTACACGTGAGAGGCGTCCGTGCCCTCTGGTGCATAGTCCGCTGGGTCCGAGTACAGCAGCACCGCCGCCACGCCGAACTTCTCCGCATTCCGAACCTGATGGGCAGGTTCGGTAGAGATAAAGATGCATGCGACTGGTTGACTGGCAAAAAACATTTTTAGTCCAAAGTTTTCGCCACAAAAAAATGAGATTATCAAAAAGGCCATCTCATAGCTCACCTTATCCCCTCTAAAGGTCTTCCCATAACGGATCAGCGCCACTGTGCCTGTCACCTTCTCCCTCCCAATCGCCGCCACCAGCTCTTCAAAATCCTCCATCCGCCCGTAATTCGCGTACACCACCTCTGCTCCTCCCGCCTCTCCCTCCGCTCCTTCCCCCCCCCCTCCGCCGCTTCCCGCCCAGGCTTCCCTCTCGCGCCCTCCGCGCCCTCCACCCCCTCTCTCTTTCTCTCCTCCGGACTCCTCCTCGCCCACTCAGGCCCTCCGCCGACCCTCCCGCTTCCAGAATACGCGTTAAAAGGGTCGGTGGCAGCGCGTGAGGCGCTATACGGGTCGCCGTGGACGGGCTGCTCGCGCAGCGAGAAGTTGAGGGCGACGGGGCGCACGAGACGGAGGGATTGACGAAGCGGGTAGGAGAGCAACACGGGGTAGTCGGCGTGGTGCGCCTTGAGGCCGTACGACTGTGACGGGGTGGAAGGGAATAGGATGGGGGGGACAGGGGGGGTTGAAGTAGAGATGAGAGAGGGACATTGGGATTGACGAAGCGGGTAGGAGAGCAGCACGGGGTAGTCGGCGTAGTGCGCCTGCGGGCCGTACGACTGCGATGGGATGGAAGGGGAGGCGAGCGGGGAGAGCAGAGGCGTTGTGGGAGCGGAGATTCCCAAAGATAAAAACACGTGATGCATCATCGTGCACGCATGCGAAACGTGACGCACGGGTGAAATGAGGAGATTCACGCAGGTGAACAGAACATGATTGCGCCAGGGTCTTAGATTCACACCTCGAATCTCTCCTTGACGTAACGGGCAGTTTCAAAGTTTTCAGGGGTGCCCGCGATGTGCGGATTGGCCGTGAGCTCCCGGAGGTGGAGCGCCAGGCTGTCATTCGACACGAGCGAGAAGAGCTTCGGAAGAAAACCGCCGCCGTTCAGATTGCTCGCATCGTGACCGTTCAAAGCTGAGCCGTCCCCGCCGGGTTCGGAAAAGAGCCGCGCGCAAAAGACGATCGTGAACAATCCCAAGGTCAGCGCCACGGGAACGTAGGCGAGAGCCGTTGGACGCCTCGACGGCGACGCGTGCGACAGTAACCCTGAGCGATCCATGGCGGTGTCACTGGGAAGCACAAGGAACGACAGGAAGAGACTGGATGTAGGGGGAAGAGCAGACAGAACCGCAGAAGTCGGCGACAGGGGACGACAGAGAGAGGGTGATGGGGAAAGGTGAATTTGGATGCTGCCGAGGAAGGGGGTATTGCTGGTGCAGCCCCTGAGAAACAGAGACAGCTTCGGTTGGACGAATTGGCGAAATTATTACATGTCTACAAGAACCCGAAATTACACGGGGCCAAGCTGCTGCGACTATTGTTAGCGAACGACGATTCCATCGCCTGTTACAGTGCATCCAGGACCGGCAGGCTGATGCATTGCATGGATGGAGGGGAGTGTGCTGGACCCGGGAGGATGAAATGCGGCGCGTCGTCTGTTCTTGGCCTGCCACGTGGTACTCCCGGGCAAATCAGGTTGAAGCACCCGAGCCACGAAGCTGACGCCAGCATCTGGATTCTGTTCAGTAACAGATTTACCCGATTAGATTGGAATTCTGATATCGGAATTCTGGTTGCGGGTGGTAATTTTATCGAGTGCTTATTACATAACGAGTACGTTTTGCAACCCAGTCTCGAAAATCTTCCGTGCCCCTGTTTCGGCGACAGTATGACGTACAACAATTGATTTCTGGAGTAATGATCCTAGAAACGATTTAGGAGCCACTTTAGGAGGCGATTAAGAGGCGATTCCAGCAGCCACATTATCCGTCCGTCTCGTCTTCCTGTTGTCGCGTTCCCAGCACGATGACGCAAACCGTTGACCCACAACTACCTACACAGCTCCTACACCTACAGGGTCAGCCACAGCAGCGACTAGGCATGACTGACCAGGCAGCCAATCCCAAGGCCCTGCCTGCGCTAACGCACCTTCCGCCGCTGCCTGCGCCGTGTACGCGATTGGAGGTGGACCTCTATCGCTTATTGCGATGCTGTGAGCGCCTCGCACGGAGCCGTTCAGCAGGCGAGCTTCAGGCGGATCCCAAGTTCCACAACGTGGGTGATTCGTCTGTCTTAGGGTCGCTATTGTCCGAACCGACTGGTTAATTGATGCATCTCGTCGTTAGGCCTTGTGAATTTTGGGCTCAACGTGAGTTGTTCGCCATTCAACAGGCGAGCTTCAGGCGGATCCCAAGTTCCACAACGTGGGTAATGGTCTGTCTCAGGGCCGCGTTTCTTTGATGCATCTCGCCGTTAGATTTAGTGAAACCTGAGTTCAACGTGAGTCGGTCAGGAGCCGTTCAGCAGGCGAGCTTCAGGCGGATCCCAAGTTCCACAACGTGGGTAGTAGTTCTTCCAAGGCTTGCGATTGTCTGGAATTTTTTGCAAGCCGGAATCACTCGCACAGAACTCCGGCTTTTACCGACTTAGCAGATGCACACTCAGTCTATTGAGTCAGCCGAGTCGCCAAAAGGGAAAAAATAAAATCGGCTTTCGACATTGCATGCAACGCCTGTCAATTCCGTTTTGGATGCCCATTGTAATGACTTTTGAGTCGACTCAAATGCCCATTGTAATCCCTATGACAATCCCCATGTCCCGCAGTATGTGGCCTATCTCCGGGAGCTGTTCTCACAGTTGCAGCTGGAGACAAGCCAGCCTGCGAGGTACTGTGGTTTCTGGAGCTTCTGATCCCCATACTCCTCTGCCGGTCTTTCCCCGGATAAAGCAGAGACTGCCTTCACTATCTGTGTTCCTCGCATCTGTGTTCCTCGCATCTGTGTTCCTCGCATCTGTGTTCCTCGCATCTGTGTTCCTCGCATCTGTGTTCCTCGCATCTGTGTTCCTCGCATCTGTGTTCCTCGCTTCGCTATCAGACCTTGGCTTGCCAGTCCATGCGATCCAGTCCATGCGATCCAGTCCATGCGATCCAGTCCATGCGATCCAGTCCATGCTATCCAGTCCATGCTATCCAGTCCATGCTATCCAGCCCATGCTATCCAGTCCATGCTATCCAGCCCATGCTATCCAGTCCATGCGATCCAGTCCATGCGATCCAGTCCATGCGATCCAGTCCATGCGATCCAGTCCATGCGATCCAGTCCATGCTATCCAGTCCATGCTATCCAGTCCATGCTATCCAGCCCATGCTATCCAGTCCATGCTATCCAGCCCATGCTATCCAGTCCATGCTATCCAGTCCATGCTATCCAGTCCATGCTATCCAGTCCATGCTATCCAGTCTATGCTATCCAGTCCGGTCCGTTTCTCAGGGATTATGTTCCCTTTGCCGCTGTCACTGCGCTGATGGTTTTTGAGGCGCCTCTCCCGCTGCAGCGAATGCAGTCTAAGCTGTCCTTATTTCGATGAATCCTTTCCCGCTGCATCAGCTCTCTTTCTTCTCTTGCTCCACATTCACTTGTCACTGTACGAATCACTCACCCCTTCCTACAGCCGCCCTCGGTCTGCGTCGGCAGAGGCTGCGGCTGCGAGGGGTGACGCAACCATGGAGGCGTATCTGCAACGAATCACCTTGCTAGCTGATCTGCTGGACGAGCACATGCTGGTGGGTGGATTAGGTAATTGCAGTTCTCACTGTTTCACTGTTTTGCTGTTTCACTGTATCACTGTTTCACTGTTTCACTGTTTCGCTGTTTCACTGTATCACTGTTTCACTGTTTCGCTGTTTCACTGTATCACTGTTTCACTGTTTCGCTGTTTCACTGTATCACTGTTTCACTGTTTCGATGTTTCGCTGTTTCACTGTTTCACTGTTTCGCTGTTTCACTGTATCACTGTTTCACTGTTTCGCTGTTTTGCTGTTTTTGAGACGTCTCAGAAGCTGCGAATCACAGTGCTGGTTGGTCTGCTCTGCTGGACGAGCATGCTGGTGCGCGAACCGTTTCATCTCAGTTTCTCTCATGTTCTGTGTTCAGTCCAATGTTGTCTCTAATAACTCTCCGCCTTTCATTCTCGCCCTGCTTTCGCTGCCACTCGCAAGCAACCAGCTCTCCTTTCCTGTGTTTCTTATTGCTCCTTGCCCACCAACCACAGCCTGACACGTGGGACATGCCAGACACCCTGCCCCTCATCGATTCCTTCCGCTGGGACGCCTTGGTGCCTCAAGACCCAGACCTCTCTGCAGCAGGCATTGGAGCTGTCAGTTCACTCAGGTTCCAGCAGCAGCAGCAGCAAGAAGCAGCAGGTGCTGGGATGCGGGGTGTGGCTGTTGGAGGTGCTCTTTCAGGCCGGCAAGGCAGGGAGGCGTTGGGCCTTCGATCGCGCCACCGCCAGTTGAGAGGACGGCATGGGTGGGTGGTGGCTTTGATGCCATGCGTGCGTTGGTCTGGGACGTTTCAATGTGATGCCTTGCATGCATGCTTAGATCATGCATGCACTCGGTGCCTCGCATGCATGCTTAGATCATGCAGCTCTCGATGCCTCGCATGCTTGCACGCGATGCCTTGCATGCATGCTTAGATCATGCTTGCACGCCATGCCTTGCATGCATGCTGGGATCCTGCATGCACTTGATGCCTTGCATGCATGCTTAGATCATGCAGCACGCGATGGCTTGCATGAATGCTTTGATCATGCAGCACTTGAGGTGGATCCGTTCACCCTGTTTCGTGTGAGGACTGTTGCCACCTTCTTGAGGGAACTACAGATTAGATTCTTGTGGCAACTGGTCGCATCATGTCCCTTGTCTCTTGTGTGTGTCTTGTCTCATCTGTTTGGCAGGCCATCTTCGAAGGATCGCCAGTCCATTCCTCTCCCTGGCTCGTCTCTTGATGACTCGTCGAGAGCCATCATCACGACCCACAAGTAATGTTCCCCTTTTTTTTTTGGCTTTACCTCATCTGCACTCTTTTCCTGCCTGATATTCAACCATGTCCTTCCCTTACAGCCTGCCCATGCCTTGTGAGCACGTTTGCTTCCCCCCAAGTCCTTCCTCCATCCCTCCTTCCCTCACTTCCCGCTCTTCCCTCCCCGCTCACGTTCACCCACACACACCCTCTCCCTCTCGTCTGTGCTGCCCTCTTTGCCCTCTCTTTCCTCCTGGTCCTCCATGTCATCCCCCCAGGAATCTTCACGAGGAGCTGTCAGATCAGATGCTGACGCTGGCAGGCCAGATGAAGGCCAACTCGCTTGCTATGGAGCAAAAAGTCAAAAGCTCCAACAAGGTAATTTTTCATCAGTGAGCTTCATCCTGGTAACACGCATTCATTGCACATCGTTGTGGTTACATTTATTTCAACTGGGCAATCAAAGTGCCAGTACTTATTTTCTCTGTTCTTGATATGGATTTGAAATTCGTTTATTCGTTTCCAGGTTCTTGATGCAACGGAGGAATCTATGGAGCGAAACGTGGCCAGCTTGAGTCGAGCCAATCAAAGAGCTTCAAGGTTGGCCCGGCAAGGTTTTTGCACCGGATGTTGGACGTGGATGGCGATGATCGTCTTGCTCACCATGTTTGTTGGAATGATTATGTTTATCAAAATGACATGAAATTTAGACGCACAGCATGTCATATTCCTGAAAATTAACCGAGGGATTTGGCCTTTTCGAGTGCCACCTTTTCATTTCAAAATAGTCTCTGCCATTAAGTTTTCGCATTAGAGCAATCCAACTCGGGAAATGTTGATATTCCTGTGCGCGAGGCACTCTGTAGCAAGGATCTCTCTGCACCCTCCACCACCCATGCTCCCGACTCCCGAGCCACACCCTCCATCGATTCTGCCGAGGACTGATCTGATCAGAGGCAGACCGACCTTCCCGAGGTCGCACCGGGCGTGCGCTGAAAGACCAGGGAGAGTCGTCTCGTCACTACGACGACTAACGACGCTGCGGCCAGGACACAGACAGCAGTGTCAGGTCGAGCATTTCGTAACGGAACTCGTTAACTGATCGAACTTCAGAATTTTCTCTCTCACGCCGCGCGAGGGCGGATTTGCTTCAGAAACGGCCGCTCGCTGTTGGGAAGTCCAGCCTATATCCGCTTATTTATTGCACGGCGTCGCGAGTGACACCTGGCCATGAGCGGGGTCGCGCATCCGTACTATCCTCGCGATATCCAGCTACCGAACTATGTCCCGCCAGCGTGGAGCACGGCGGAGCTCTTCGGCGTGTTCGGGGTGGCGGTCGGGTTGATCTTCACCCTCTCATGGCTGTTCGCACGTGAGTCGGAAACTACGAGCGGAAACAAAGTTTCAGGAAGTTAGACATTTGCAGCCTCACATTCCCGAAAATGACGTCTCTCCGCGGCAGCATCCTTATAGCCGGCAACCACGCACGTGCAGCCTCGATATAGTTATAGCCAAACGCTCGCTGCGATCAGATCTGATCCAGCTTCCGTCATGCCTCCCAACACCCTCTGCTTGAACCCTCCCATCACCCCTCCAAGTCCCTGCCGCCGCTTGTGGCTGTCAGAACGATTCATCTGCTGCTGGTGGGCCGTGAGCTCGTGACAGAAGCACTAATCGGTGTCTCGCCACTGGTTGACCTTCTCCCACCTGGTTGTCTTTCTGCCACCTGGTTGTCCTTCTGCCACCTGGTTGTCCTTCTCCCCCCCCCCAGGCTCCTGCCGCCACTTGTCCGTCGTGGAGCGAGTCACGTTCAGCTGGTGGGCGGTGACGGGCGCCATCCACATGCTCATGGAGGGAGCCTTCGTCGCCTTCCCCGCCCTCATCAGCAGCACCAGCAAGGCGTTCCTCCTCGATGCATGTAAGCCGTGTGCTCCTTCCTTGATGCCTGAAGGTCTTATTTCTGTCATCACTGCCCCCAAACTCCTCCACTTCCCCACTGCACACCTGCTCCCGCACCTTGGTTATCCCTCCACCGCAGAATTTTTATTTTTCCCCTCCTCTCATACTATTGTTCCAGTGCGCTTCCTATCCTTTCTGGACCTCTTTACTCCCCCACCTAAACCCTGAACCCCTTGTCCGCCTTTCCTCCCCTTCCTCTTCCTCCCCCCTTCCGCCATCGCTTGTGTGGTGCAGGGAAGGAGTACGCCATTTCTGATTCCCGCTATGCCACCCGCGACACGTGCATAGTCTCTCTCGGAGGCAGTCACTGCGTTCGTTGAAGGCCCTGCCTGCATGCTCATACTGTAAGAGCTGCTCTTGAGTCGACTCACAAGTCACCTAGTCACTGCCTTCATCGAAGGCCCTGCCTGCATGCCCGTTCTGTAAGAACAGCCATTGTGAGAGATTTTACACTCAAAAAGGGCCTGCCTGGATCCTCATACTGTAAGAACAGCCCACGCATGCTAGTACGCCTTGTACCTTGTACGGTTGAGCTGACTTCTTTCTTCTGCATCAGCTCGAGTTTGTTGTGACTAAGAAGAAGACATACCGGTATTTGTTTGCCCGCAGGTATGCCATGGCGGCCAGGAAGCCCTTCAGCAATCTCCTCCAGTTCACGGTGTCTCTCGGGCAGCTGTACGGAGCTGCAGTGTACTTCGCCACGAGCTACCTGGAAGGTTTCCCCCACTCGGACCCCCATCCGATCTACTTCTGGGGCTACTTCGTTGGCATGAACGCCATCTGGATCGTTGTGCCGTTTCTTATTCTCTGGCGTTGCTGGGCGCGCATTGTATCAGCGGAGGCGTCAGTGCAGGCTGTAGCCCCCCGCAGATCCAAGAGGGAGTGAACGCCGTTTGGATCGTGGTGCTGTTGAGTTGATCATCCTCTGGCGATGCTGGGTGCGCATTGTGCGGCAGCGGAGGCTTCAGTACAAGCTGTAGTGTACTATCAGCAGGGGCTTCAGTGCAGGCTCCAGTAGCCAAGAGATTTAGGAGATAGCGAATGGCCGATCGCTGTATGCCGGCTGTATGCCGGCTGTATGCCGGCTGTATGCCCGCTGTATGCTCTTGGAGAAGGCATACGATGGGCGTATTGAGCTGTTTGGTCAGCGAAGGAGAGACATAGGGACATGGATAGAGATGTAGGTAGGTAGCTGTACCATCGGTTGAATCCACACTAGCTGATAAGCCATTCACAGCTATTATTGAAGGGGAATAATGAAGAGCACATCGTGTCTTTATGAATACACTTAACTCAAACTGGTTCTAATCAGAAACATCGCGCACACTCCGTACCTGCACAGGTGCGAATCAGTCAGCGTTTCCTGCCTGTGGCGTTGGGTTTGGGGAGAGTGGGGGGGGGGGGGGGGAGTATCGACGAGGGGCCCCTTTCGTATCATAGCGCAGCCAGACTCTCCACTGCAGAGCATAGTACCATAGTATACCGTACCCGACCAACTGCCACCGACCCGTACTCTCCGTGGTTAACAAGAGGACAGAGTCAGTCAGTCAAGACTCCCAGGGGCTGCAAGGGGGGGGGGGAGGGAGAGGGTGGTGGTAGCAGCCGGACAAGAGCATTGTACAGGAACTGTGCATAGACGTCTATGGGGCCGGGGAAACAGTAGTGCAGGCAGTCTGTCTTGTTCCTGTTTGGCATGAAGCCGTTATGCCCGTCCGCTCTCAACCCCACCATCTCTTCCACATCCAAATACACCCCCCCAACCTGCTCCACCAACTCTTTAGCCGCCTGATTTTGCTTGGGGAAATCACCCCAGTTAAATGGCAAACTCTCCAGGTCTTGCCGCTTTGACAATGGCCGATTGTAGTCTTCGCAATCTTTGTGCCCTGGCGGAGTGTTCCTGTAGATAATGAGCTTGTCCGGATAATTATACCGAATAAACCGTAGGGCGTTTTCTATGCCGGAAATGAATTGAGGAGTAGGAGTCCAGTGGGGGCCTCTGTTTAAAACGATGACGTCTGCAGAGGGGATATCGGCAACACCAGGTTGAGCCCACGGTATGTGGTCAAAAATTGGCCCCTTCGAGTAGACTATTGATAAGTGATCGTTGCGAATGAAGTCCACCTGAAAGCCGGGGCATACCGAAGCATTGAATGTGTACCTGGGACCGAGGGAGGGGGAGGGAGACAGAAGGGGGGGACAAGAAGGGTAGGGTCTTATTTTTTAGTCGCCTAAAAAATTGTCACCGCGCTTACTGGAAGGTTGTCTGAATGTGTACCTGGGACCGAGGGGAAGGGGGAACCAGAAGGAGGGAAGACGAAGGGGAGGGGAGACAACAAGGGCGGGCGGGGGAATTCAGAACGCCCTGCAGTTGTAACCATTGGCCCATTCTAGCCGTATCTCCTCCCAATCCTTGCGTTCTATTGGAAGCTCAAGCGAGCCCCATCTTGGAAGTGTTCTGCCTTTGAGAATTCTAAAAAAAGAAGAACATCCGTGCCATATCTCCTCCCAATCCACACACCCCTTTGGCTGCTACTCCAGCTGAAGCAAATCTCATGTTGGCTTCTTCAATTCTTCAATTCCCACGCCATGAGGTTAGCTGACGCCTGACACAAAACTTCCTCACAGCAGACCTGCAACAACAGGGACTTACCACTGGCAGAAGCGGCGCCCCATTCTGAATTGGTTATTGAGGATTGGTACTTCAGGATCGGTTTTTGAAAACTCTCAAAGACCTGCAACAACAGAAACTCACCACTGGCAGAAGTGGCGCCCAATTTTGGCCGTGCTCCCTTTCAAGGCATCCATACATGGCTTCGGCCATTCCTGTAGCACCGCCATGTCCCGTGCCGGCTTCTCTAAACCCCACGCCATGTGGTTCAAAAACGCCTCCACCATCTGGAACTGCTTCGAGTCGCCGATGAACAGCATGCGCCGCCCTCGCCCCACCCGCTCACAGAACGCCGACGCGTCAAACTTCAGCCAGGGGTCGGATAAATCCACTGCTGCTGCTGCTGCTGCTGCTGATGCTGCTGCTGCTGCTGCTGCTTCGGCCTCTGCTGTGACGAGCCTTGCCTCTGCTGCTGCTCTACCTGCAGCTTTCACTGCTTCGCCTCCTTCCCCTCCTTCCCCTCCTTCCCCTCCTTCTCCGTCCCCACCACCTCCTCTCCCGGCCTTATCCAACTGAGCTTGTGCAAGCCTTTGCTGCTTCTTAGCCAGTTCGACCTGCTTCTTAGCCCTTTCGAGCCGCTCCTTAGCTGTTCTCTCAAAGGCTTCGATCTCCTGGGCACATCAGGCGCCTGGCACGCACTGCCCCCCACCACCCATTCATACTTCACCCCCTCCCTCACTGTCCAGCCACCCTCTCTCGCCTCATGCCCCTCCCTCCCTTCAGACCCCTCACTTGGGTCAGACCACCCCTTCTCCTCAAACCCCCCTCTCTCCTCAGACCCCTTACTCGCCTCAGACCCCTTACTAGCCTCAGGCCCCACGATCACATATGCATCCGCCTGACTGGCATATGCCATGTGGCTCGAATTCAAGCTCAAGTGCTTGTTGTCGCAGTAATTGCTCACTCCTCGGTAATCCCACGGGAGAATTCGTGGTTTGGGGTTTCGAACCCACTTGCCCTTTCCGGCCACGCATGCCGCCCATTCCTTCCATTTTTTCACCAGCCTCTGCCCGCGAATCAGAGACCCGGGTATGGCGTTTCTCCAGAGGGCAGCTCGTTCTGCCAGGCTGCCTCTGGGCAGTGCGGGCTGAAGTAAACTTCCGTCGAGAGGGCTTGCATGAGGAGGGTGAGCACGACCTGGTCACAGGAAAGTTTTTTGGGCTGCCCAGAAATGTCTACGAGCTTGCAGAAAAGAGTGTGATGGCGGAGGGAGAGGGAGTGAGAGAGAGTGCGGTGGGAGGAGGAGGAGGAGGGATGAGAGGAGGAGAGGAGGAGGAGGGCTGAGTCGAAGGTTGAATCTCTAGGACAACAGCGGCAGGAGGCAGGAAGAGAATGAAGTCAAGAGCCTCGCCCGGTGGGGCGACGAGGAGGAGAGTGCGAGAGAAGAGAGCCCTGGCTGGAGTGGGGCGAGAGGGGAGGAAGAGCGGGAGGAGTTAGGGTTTGAAACCAAGAGATACGCTTTGCCTGGTGGGGGGATGAGGAGAAGAGTGCGAGGGAAGAGAGCCCTGGCTGGAGGGTTGGGGGTTGAGCAAGGGGGACATGCGAGGACGCATGGAAGATGGGGAGAAGAGAGGCAGGAAGAGAATGACGTCAAGAGCCTCGCCCCCTGGGGTGATGAGGAGGAGAGTGCGCGAGAAGAGAGCCCTGGCTGGAAAGTTGGGGGATGAGAAAGGGAGACACGCAGGGACGCACAGAAGAGTGCTTTGGAGAATTCTAAAAAACACCCTGCAGAATCGAGGAGGAGAGTGCGAGAGAAGAGAGCCCTGATTGGAGAGTTGCGGGTTGAGGGAGGGGGACACGCAAGGACGCATGGAAGACGGGGAGACGAGAAGCAGAAAGAGATGGAAGTCAAGCGTTTCGCCCGGTGGGGCGATGAGGAGGAGAGTGCGAGAGAAGAGAGCCCTGGCTGGAGGGGCGAGAGAGGGGAGGAAGAGCGGGAGGAGATAGTGTTTGAAACCAAGAGATTGAAGTCAAGGGTTTTGCCGGGTGGGGTGATGAGGAGGGGGGTGCGACGGAAGAGAGCCCTGGCTGGGGATGCGGGAGCGGGGGGGAAGAGAAGGGAAAGAAGTGGGTGATAGAGCGATAGGGAGAGAGATGTACGAGGGGAATGGATTCTAGGGCCTCGCCTGGTGGAATGATGAAGGGGGAGGGGGGAGATGCTGGGAGGTGAAAAGTTCCATCCCTGGCTGACATCCAAAGGATCCAAAGCGAGAATGGCTCGGAGTTAAGGGAGAACGGAAGATAAGGAAAAAGAGAATGACCTCAATGAAAAGAAAAGAAAAGAAAATAAAATAAAGAAAAAGAAGCTGAAGTAAGAAGAGTGCAACGTTGCCTGCCATGCATGTACCTTTCTATCTAACACAAGGACCGATTGAAAGAGAAAAGTAAGAAGAGTGTGCCCTCTCCCTGATCAGAAATCTCCTGCCTCCCATAACTCGCTTCACTACTTTGGCTGTATTCACGGCCTTGTGTCATCCAGTGTTTGTGTTTTTCCAAAACTTCCAGCTGCCTGCAGCAGCTCCAGATTGTGGACACGAGCTGGAATGGACACGGGCCAGCAGCTCCAAATTGAGGACACGAGAGAACTTTTGAGCCGACTCAAAAGTCAGATTTTGGACACGAGCTGGACACAGGCCAGCCGCTCCAAACTCTGCGCGCTATTCGGGGCTGGGGTCTGGGGCAGAAACTCGAAATCGCGGACCTCACTTCGCCAGCCGTAGCCACGTCGCGAGCTAGGGCGAGCCACATTCAGCCGGCGAGCTAGGGCAAGCTAGGCGACCAGCTAGGCGGCCAGCTAGGCGATCAGCACATTGAATGACAGTTTGCAAATTCTGGCACAATCTAGTATTTGTGCACAAGGATTGACGTCCAACTCTGACGCGCGGTTCCAAGAAAGTCGCTCGCAATTTTGTCGCACGCTTAGAGGCACGGGGCAAAAGCCAATTCGCCACGAGGTTGATCGCGAAAAATGCGACCATAAGTCCGGAAGACCCAAAGCTCGAATCAGGAAACCCGCGACTCCACACCACACCACTCATCACCGACGACACAAGCATTTCATGACATGAAGTTGTGAATACGCCCTTTCTCATGCCAAGAGTCTCTTGCTTTGCCCACCTTCCGTCACCCCCATCCTTCCTCGCCAGTGCACCACCCGCCCCTGCCACCAATTGACGTGCTACCCGTTGTTGTGACTCATGCCATCCACACCTTGTCTCTTGCATCCCTCACCTCCTTTCCTCCTCTCGCCCTCACCTGCCTTTCCTCCTCCCCCTCTCACCTTCTTTAAGCGCCACCCTTCCCTGAAAGTACAGCACCCGCCATGCCACCAATCGACTTTCCTGACACCCCACCTCTCCTACCTAATCCCTTAGCTTCTCACCTTCCTTCACCCCCATGCTTTTTTTAATCGCCTCAAAATACTTTCCTGACACCGCACCCCACCTCTCCTGATCCCTTAGCTTCTCACCTTCCTTCACCCCCATGCCTCCTCGCCAATACACCACCCGCCCATGCCACCAGTTATCTTGGATTATGCCGTCCACCATCTCCTCCATCTTATCCAATAACATCGCGGCAGGTGGCACCGCCACCACCACCACCCACTCCTCCCCCACAAGCTCCCTAACCCCCGCGAATCCATCACCCCCCCCGATGCCCTTCGCAATGTCAGCCTCTCCCTCTTTTACAGCAGCTGCTGCCACGTCAGCCGCCAAGTCAGCTGCCACATCAGCGGTGATGGGAGCGCAAGCTGGCGGGAGGGGGACAGGTGGCGGGTGCCTGAGAGTCCAGTTGGCGTGGAAGAGGGGGAGGCCCGAGGGGGGGAGGAGGTGGTGGGAGCGAAGGAATGAGAGGAGAGAGGGGGAGGGGTGAGAGCAGTGCTGGAATGACGGCTGGCGGGGGGGGAAGTGGGGAGAGGGAGGGGGGAGTGGCGGAAGGGGGATGGGGAGGGGGAAGGGGGAAGGCAGGGAGAGGGGAGGGAAAGAGGTGATGCCACTGGAGAGAGGAGGAGGGCTAAACCTACGTGACCGCAAACGCTCTGGCGGGGCAGCGTTTAGCGTTTAAACGCTGCGTTTAAACGCTAAACGCTAAACGAAACGCTAAACGCTCGGACAAAATTTTAGGGGCAGCCCAGCCAAAAATTCGATCAATTTTTTTCCGTGACATTGCGACTTGGCGAGTTCAACCAGACATTTGCCAAGTCGCAAATCCCAACCTAACGACCAAAAAAGGCATCCAACCCTTTTGCCCCGCTCAACCGCACAGCACCCTGTTCATCAACGACTTTCACTCCAACCTAACCACTTTCTCCCCTCCTTCCATCACAATCTCTTCCCCGTAAAAAATGAGAACCCTAGAGTTCCGCGCACCATAGCCGTAGCTCAGATCCAGTCGCTATTCTCTCACCTCCCACCCTGGCCACCTGATTTCGCGCTAAGTTAAGGGCCCACGCCCATGTCGACCCCCCCTAATGCTGCAGACGCTAATCCTACAGCGTCTGCAGCATCTAATATTTACGAGCCAGAGGCTAATCACGATATTGGAGTAAATATGTTGTATACCATAATCCCCTTGCCTCCCCCCACCGATCCCAGGTTTTTTTCCCCTGCCCGGGGGAAATTTTATGGCTGCCCGAACGAGCGTTTACCCTAGCGTTTAGAAACCCAAGAAGGCGCGTTCAGCGTTTAAACGCTTCGTTCAAAACGCTAAACGCGTTTGCGGTCACGTAGGGCTAAACGTATGTTTTACAGAGAACCTGTTAAACGTAAGGTAAACGAAAGGTTCAAGAGGGGGGACGACAGCTAAACGTAAGGTTTCTTTGGAGAGAGGAGGAGGGCCGAGTGCAGGGCTGGAAGGACGGTTGGAGGAGAGAGGGGTCGGAAAGGCCAGGGCGTGGGGATGGATGGGGAGGGATTTGGGGAGAGGGGGATGGGAGGGGAGTGGAGGGGAGTGGAGGGGAGTGGAGGGGCCTAAGTAACTGAAATGGAAGGTAAATGCAAGTGGGGAACTAGAAAAGGGGAGGGAGGGGCACCTGATAGATGAGCACCTGATAGAAGAGCACCTGATAGAAGAGCACCTGATAGAAGAGCACCTGATAGAAGAGCACCTGATAGAAGAGCACCTGATAGATGAGCACCTGATAGATGAGCACCTGATAGAAGAGCACCTGATAGAAGAGCACCTGATAGAAGAGCACCTGATAGAAGAGCACCTGATAGAAGAGCACCTGATAGAAGAGCACCTGATAGATGAGCACCTGATAGAAGAGCACCTGATAGAAGAGCACCTGATAGAAGAGCACCTGATAGAAGAGCACCTGATAGAAGAGCACCTGATAGAAGAGCACCTGATAGAAGAGCACCTGATAGATGAGCACCTGATAGAAGAGCACCTGATAGAAGAGCACCTGATAGAGAGCAAGGAGCACCTGATAGAGCACCGAAGAGCACCTGATAGAGAGCACCAAGAGACCTGATAGAAGAGCACCTGATAGAAGAGCACCTGATAGAAGAGCACCTGATAGAAGAGCACCTGATAGAAGAGCACCTGATAGAAGAGCACCTGATAGAAGAGCACCTGATAGAAGAGCACCTGATAGAAGAGCACCTGATAGAAGAGCACCTGATAGAAGAGCACCTGATAGAAGAGCACCTGATAGAAGAGCACCTGATAGATGAGCACCTGATAGAAGAGCACCTGATAGAAGAGCACCTGATAGATGAGCACCTGATAGATGAGCACCTGATAGAAGAGCACCTGATAGAAGAGCACCTGATAGAAGAGCACCTGATAGAAGAGCACCTGATAGAAGAGCACCCAGGAATCATCTGAACCCAAGAGAACCGACCAAAAGGCACCTGACTGACGGCACCCAAACGAGAACCAGAATCAGAATCGGATGGCACCTGAATGAGCCTTTCAACAAAGAGCAGGTGCGTTGGTTGGTTTGTCTGGTGGAGGCAGCAGGGAGACTTTAATGAATAACACCTGGACTAAAAAGCTCCCGAACCAAATAGCACCTGAATGAGCCTTTCAACGAAGAGCAGGTGCGTTGGTTTGTCCGGTTGAGGCAACAGGGAGACCTGATGGGGCGGGGCTCCTAGGAAGTGTGGTGCCAGGGCATGAAGCCACTGGTGATGGTGGGAGATGGGGGAGGACAAGAGACAGATATGCAAGGAAGCAGAGAAACCTGATGGGTGGGGTGGGGCTCCCACATAGTGTGGTGCCAGCAGATGTAGCCGCTGCGAGGAAAGGGAAGACGGCAAAGATTCTTCCTGTGGGGCTTCGGGGGAATGTGCAGCCAAGATGTGCATGCATCCATGAGTGAGGATGGAAAAGAAAAGGGGGGATGGAAAAGGGGATGGCAATGAAATGCACGCATGCTTATGTTTCCAGAAGCAAGCATGAGAGCCGGGTTTGGGGAATTTGTCACTCTTTTGGTGAGAAAGGCCCCAAAAAATGGCATGAGCTATGGAAAAATAAACATGGTCTTGCTCCCCGACAAACGGAACTTAGTCAATTCAGCTGCAACTCTAAACCCTCTTACCTTGCCACCTTGCACCACCAATAGAACACCACTCGACATGAGGTTTGGGAGGAGAGAGGCGGGGGAGGGGGGGGGGGGAGGGAGAGGGGCGTGGGGGAGAGGGGTGGGGGAGAGAGGCGCGGGTGAGAGGAGTAGTTGTTCTCACCTTGCGTTCTTGGACGAGGAAGCGAGCGCCCTCAGAGAGCAGTTGGGGGAGGAGAGGCGCGAGGGGGATGAATAGAGGGAGATGATGCACCAGATGGTCGAAGAACGAGGCGCGGGGGAGAAAGGGGGAGGCGGAGGAGGAAGAGGAGGAGGAAGAAGAGGAGGAGGAAGAGGAGGAAGAGGAGGGAGAAGAGAGTGAGTTTGATCTGGAGGGAGGTGCGGCTAGGTTGATTGCAAGGGGATGGACGGTGATGGGCGTTTCTGCTGGGTATGTGAAGGGCTGAGCTGGCAGAGGCATGCCGTCATGCCCCTCATACATGCATCCATCACACATGCATCCATGCATTCACAAATGCATGCACGCATACATGCATGTGTGCATGAACATACACGCAAACGCACACGCGCGATGCCAATTCCACTCGGAGGAATTCAAGGAAGACGCACAACCACAGAAAGGGGACGAAAGAGAACGTGAATGAGTGCGTAATGGGCAAATAAAGACCATCAAGCCTGCAGTAGTAGTGGAAAACCGTGAACGCAGTAGGAGAACACTTTGGAACACGGCCAAAGGAACGCAAGAGGAACACCCTCCCCTCCCCTGCACCGAATGCACCAAACCACTGTTCACCTCACTAAACCGCATCTCACCTCACTCAGTGCAGTTCGCCTGTCACGCCCGCCCGCCCCGCCAGAAGAAGCACTGGAAGCTGAAGACCCTCCCCTGCGTCCCTGCCTCAATGCATGACGCGCCATCTTTCACAAGCCACACTCAACCGCACCTCACTCACCTCACTCAGTGCCTTTCGCCTGCCGCACCCGCCCGGCCAGAAGAGGAGCGAGGCGTTTGAAGACCCTCCCCCGCCCGTCTACGAGCACGCCCCTCAGCTCCACCACCTGCCCCACCATACTCGCCTGTGCTCACCGCACGGAACCGCATCTCACCTCACTGAGCGCTGCCCGCCTGCCGCAACCCCCCGGCCAGAAGAGGTGCGAGGCGTTGAAGACCCTCCCCCGCCCGTCCACAAACACGCCCCTCAGCTCCACCACCTGCCCCGCCCACCCCCTTCCCCCCCCATCCCGCACCCCCCCCTCCCCGCCCTCCACCCTCACCCCTTCCGCTTCCTCCTCTTCTTCCGCCTCCCCCTCTACTTCCCCCTCTTCAGCACCCACTCGTTCGCCCTTGGTATCCTTGAGTTGTTTCTCTGCTCCCCCTTGCCATGCCTTCAGCCCATGCTCTTGAGAGGCGATGGCGAAGGAGCAGTTGGGAAGCAACACCATGCCTTGCACGCCCTCCCAGGGAACGATGGGAGGGCATCTCAACCGCACAGCACCGCTTGTTGTTGCTACGCCTTGCTGCACCACCAACCGCCTTCTAGTTGGCGCGTGGGACGCAGAGGGAAGTATGGCAGCAGCTGGTGCTGCAGGTTCTGCTGGTGCTGCAGGTTCTGCTGGTGCTTCTGTTGCTGGTTTTGTGTGTGCTGGTCCTGCTGTTGCTGTTGCTGCTGGTGCTGCTGGTCCTGCTGTTGCTGCTGTTGCTGTTGCTGCTGTTGCTGTTGCTGCTGGTGCTGCTGGCCCTGCTGTTGCTGCTGTTGCTGGTGCTGCTGTTGCTGGTGCTGCTGTTGCTGGTGCTGCTGTTGCTGGTGTTGTTGGTGCTGCTGGTGCTGCTGGTGCTGCTGTGGCTGGTGCTGCTGGTGCTGCTGTGGCTGGTGCTGCTGGTGCTGCCGGTGTTACCTGAGTGGTCGTGGCTTCCTCTCCGCTATCATTCACCTGCCCGTCCACGACTTCCGGATTCCAGCACGCCCGTATCCCCTGCCCGCACCCCGAAAACTCAGGGCAAATCGCGCCTTTACACCCTAAATTCGGCAACGCCACCTGCTCCCTTCGCTTCTTCCCTCCCTTGCCGCCCACCTCATTGTCTTTAATCACGTCTACTCCAAAAACTTCCGCAAAGAAGCTCAGGCTAATAGGTGCCAGCTGTGTGCGTGTGATTGGCTGCTCGAGGCGTCGGACCTCCCGCGATCTATGGCGTCCCAACCCGCCGCTTCCTGCGGCGCCTAGTGCGGTGGACGCGACTAGGAAGAAGGTGGATTGGAGGAGGAAAGCCGAGCGAAGAGCCAGAGTGGCGTTGAGCCTAGGGCGGCTAGGAACTCGGAAACGCGATTGGCCAGGATTCGGAGCAACGGTAGATCGACGGCTGGATGTGTGCCAGCTCATGGCTTCTCGAACAAGCTTGGTTGAACACTAAGCCAGAGGCGTATTATCGTGAAAGAACCAACATTATTTTACTTTCAAAAAGAATTGTGTAGAATTATCTCTTACAGCCCTCAATAAGAGGACGAGACTCAAGGCGGCTCACTAGCTCCAGCTCGCGGCCTACTTGAATGGAGCTGTGAAAGAAGCTGGTCCACTGTACCAGCGGAGTCACCTGTGTCGGCATGTGAGAAATCCGAATTTGACGTGCTTCGTGGTGGTGACACTGGGTCGCAGTGCGGTGCTTTATTGAAACGAAACGTTGCAGCGGTTTATTAGCGTCACCTCAAGTATCCAAATATACAGCAGTGCAGTACTTGGATCAGCAGTGCAGCTGATAACGGATTTCTGATTTATAGTAATGTATCTGATTGCAGTTCAAGAAGATATGTCGCGTTCCAAAGCAGCCAAACATTAATCTAGAACGTGAGTGTGGTATTTTGTAACACGCTATAACCTTCATTCGACCCCCCACTTGCCTTTTATCGGATATCGTATTTGTGTTGTCCATGATTAGAGCATATTCTTATGAAATAACTGTCAACAAAAATGTAGTTCTGTCTACACATATCTAGTTAGTTTAGATATGTTTGTTATATCCTAGCTAGGTTAGTTCTTAGAGGGGACAATATTCGTATACTTGTATCTCCCCTCCCCTCTTCCTAGTCACACTTTTTCCCGCTACGCTACCATAGTATTGAGCTAGGTTAGATTTTGTTTTTTCCGCCGTTACTCATGCTTCCGCCGTAACTCACGCTTCCGCAGTTACTGTAGCTTCTTTTTTCGCGCATGTGCAACCTCTAAATTTCTCAAGCCTCCTGCCCTCAAATTTCGCGCTTCGTAGCCGCTGTTGCCTGTGCCTCTGCCGCTGCTGCCGCTACTGCTGCAGCTGCCGCTGCCGCCACTGCCGCTGCCGCAACCGCTGCAGCCACTACCGCTGCCGCTGCAGCCACTACCGCTGCCGCTGCCATTGCAGCCATTGCCGCTGCCATTGCAACCACTGCTGCAGCCGTCACTGCTGCCTCTGCCGCTGCCGCTGCCGCCGCTTGCGCGGCCGTCGCTGACCTAGCGTCCGCCACTGCCACTGCTGCCCTTGCAGCCGCCACTGCGGTCGCTGCCCGCTGCAGCTGCCACTGCCGCCGCTGCCCTTGCAGCCACCACTGCCGCTGCAGCTGCTGATGCTACCGTCGCTCTCTCGCTGCAGCCGCTGCTGCCGCCGCCCTCGCCGTTGCCGCGGCTCCTCCCGCTGTTGCTGCTCTTGCTGCAGCCGCCACTTCAGCTCTCTTTGCCGCCAGCAGCCACTGCCACTGCAACCGCTGCTGCCACCACTCCGCGGCTAGCCTGCAGCTGCGCAGCCGCCGCCGCCAGCCAGCTCGCCGCTGGCCCGCCGCCGTCGCCACCCTGCCGCCAGCTAGCAGCCGCCACTGCCACCGGCTCCCACTGCAGCACCTGTTCCTGCTGCTGCCGTGGTCCCTGCCTCTGTCGCCTCCGTCTTCACAGCCGCAGCTACCACCATACCCGCTAGCATGGCGTCGGATTCGGGGACTCGCAGCAGCAGCAGCAGCCGCAACAGCAGCAGCAGCAGCAGCAGCTGCCGTGGGGGCTGGGGGCCCTGGGGGTGGTGGTCGTGATGGAGGTCGTGAGGGTTGGGGCCCAAGGTAGTTGGTGCCCTGGGGGCCGCGTGGCTCCTCTATGAGCCAAGGTGCTGGTGGTTGTGGAGGCGCAGTGACCTGCACGTACCAGCTGCTGACTGGCCCGCAGGCGGGCCAGGTGTGCGGGCGCACGGGACACACCGCCGCTTGCTGCTTCCGCCGCCTAGACGACCTCTACTGCCGTCACTTGGGCCCGCTGGTGCAGGTACCCACCTGGCCTGTCTTGCTTCGTCGTGGGGTTTCTATCTTTGACATGGATATGATTCAGATCAATCAGGCCTTGTATTCGCTGTATTCGGATGCTTCTAGTGTTGTTGGATCGTATTATCCTGTTGTTTGGGTTAGAGTAGCGAGAAAAGTGGTGACTAAGGAAAATGTCGAGGGATACGAAACTAGGGCTGTACTTGCGAAGAACTAAACTAGCTAGGCTATAAACAAATATGACAAAGCTAATCTATATAAATATATTTGTTGACACACCCCCTAGCCTAGATAGTGGCAGTTCATAATAAGGCAGAGTACACCAGGGCAGCACAACTAGTTTGACCTCTTGTGAAGGAAACAAGGCAACCCAAGGCAGCACTACTAGTCTGACCACTGAGATAAGAGGCCACAAGGCTAGTCAGCAAGTGTAGCAAGACAAACAGGTATAGATTAACAAGTACAAGTAGGTATATTCTTACTCGGAATACAAGGAGTGGTGCTGCTACGGAGATGAGACCAAGCTGAGTACAGAAATGCTGATGGTCATGAGGCGCAAGTGCCTCGGTGAAAATATCAGCGGTGTTGGCCTCTGAGGCCAACTGTACCACTCGAGCCTGACCGCACTGCTGCAACTCACGCAGAAGAAAGTACCGCAGCTGGATGTGCTTTGCCCTGCCCTCAAGTCGAGCCTCCTGACATAGAGGATCATGGCCATGTTGTTAGCAAACAGGACCGGGGCACACCTAGGCCGCTCACCTAAGTATGTGAGCAAGAAAGTCAGCTAGCGGAGCTCCTGAGCGGCCATGACCCCAGCGTAAATCTCTGCCTCACAAGTGGACTGAGCTACAGACGACGACCTGGTGGGCCTCCACGAGACTGCACCAGCACCAAGACTAAAACAGTAGCCCTGAGACGACTTGAGCATCTCCACGTCGTCAGCCCACGATGCTTCTTTGTGTCCAGTGAGCACCACTGGCTCCCGTCCTCCTAGCACAAGCCCCATTCATGATGTACTCGCCAGATACCGCAGTACCCTCTTGACAGCTGACCAGTGGACTGGTCGGTGACTACCTGTCGCAACAAAGCGGGCCAGGAGACTGAGAGGGTACGCTAGATCTGGTCGAGTTCATGTCATCAGGTATATGAGGCACCCCACCAGCTCTGCGTATGGACCACTAGCCTCAACCAGCTCAGCCGGAACAGGAGCAGAGAGCTTGTGATTCACACGCAGAGGGGTGGGCTGTGCTAAGGAGACTTGGAGACTGAACCTCTAGAGGATCTGCTGCACCATATGGGACTGGGAGAGTGTGATCGTGTGAGCGGCACGGTCACGAGAAATCTCCAAGCCCAGATAGCGCCTCAGCTCCCCCAAGTCTGTACAGGTGTGTCTCCTAAGTAACTCGGCCTTCACTGAGGTCAGTGCGACCCTGTCAAGAGTAGCAAATATTAGATCGTCGACGTACAGTAGAATGTAGAACGGTGTCTGGCCCGTGCGAACAAAGAGAGAGGGGTGAGCAGAGGACGGAAGCAACTGTAGATCAGCAAGAGTTGTGCGAAGCGTGTCGTGCCACTCACGGGGGGCCTGACGAAGGCCGTAGACAGGACGGCGCAGGCTCCACTCGGTCCCAGGTGGGAAAGAACCAGAGAAGCCTAGAGGGTGCCGGAGGTAGATCTGCTCGTGCAGACTACCGTGCAGGAACGCTGTGGAGAAATCGAGTGAATAAAGCTCGTAGTCACGCTGCGCGGCTATGTGAAGAAGGACCCAAAGAGTAGTCATCTTCGGGGTCAGGGAGAAGGCCTGGAAGAAGTTCACACCCTCACGCTAACTGAAGCATCTAGCCACGTAATGTGCCTTGAACTTAAGCGGCTCTCCAGGTGCGCGCTTCACCCTGTAGATCCACATGCCATCGACTACGTTCGCCCAAGGCGGGGGAGCTGTGTCGACGTAAGTGCCTGTGGATCTGTAGGATGTCATCTCACCCTCCATGGCCTGTATCCACTAGGCTGCCCAAGGCCCCGACACCGCCTCAGCATAAGAGCGAGAAACAGGGATGTCGAGAGCGTTTGGGTCGCCCTCTGGGGATACAAGCACGGAGCAGAGATGGGGAACAGCGGCAGCAAGGTAGGCCAACTCGTGCTGCCTATCCTCTAGCACGTCATTGCCAAGGGCAGGTGCACCCCGACGGACAAAGGACGAGCAGTACCAGAGACCAGAGCGGCAGCATAGTCAAGGCGGTGGCTAGCAGCAAATTCAACGAATGCAGCGACAAGCACAGAGACAGATCAGGAGGAACAGTAGGGTCAGTAACAAGCGATGCAAGCAGGCGCTAGAGGGTAGGACGAGCAGTGCGAGCAGATTCGGAGCGAGGAGGGGGGGACGATGGGAGCGATGATGGGGGAGGCAACGGGAGGACTGTGTTCGGAGGAGCACATGAACGAAGGACCATATGGTGGACAATAGGACAGGGAGAGACAGGATGAGCACTAGAGGGGCGACCAATCCAGTGGGGAAGAGCTAGGGACTGAGGACGAGGAGGAATTGGGGACAAGTCAGGGACGGAGGGGAGCGCGAGGGAAAACGAGCCGGAGAGGAGTCCGGAGGAGGAAGCAACGGGTCATAAACAGGGTCACGCACCGGAGAGGGAATGGGCGAGCGGACAGGGGAACCTGCAGCTAGACCAAGGAGACGAAGGGCAGACTACTGCTGCTTTTGCTGAGGCTGCAACGGCTCCTTGTCCTCTCCAGGACCACCAACAGCTCCGCGGCTGTCACCGGCACACTGCAAAACAGCACCCGCAGGACTAGCACCCTCGGACTGAGCCCCCCCAGAACTCGCACCTTCAGAAACAGCACTCCCAATACCAACGCCACCAACAACAACACCCCCGATACCAGAACCCCCAGAACCAGCACCCCCAGAGCCCATTGCTCTCTGCTGCTGCTGCTGCGGCCGCTGAGTCGGCTGCGGAAACGGCTGCTGTTGCTGAGGCAAGGGAGGCGACTGAGGTGCCTGGGGTACCGAGGCTGGGGGAGGCGTCATCGGGTTAGCAGGCACGCCCCCAGCAGGTGGGCCACCAGAGTCAGCCGACTCTCCCACATGCGCAACCGAGGGGAACTGGTGGCGTAGGAGACATCAGACTCGGCCGGGCGGGGCAAGAGGGGAGCGGCTGGCGGGGCAGGGACAAGGAAGAGAGGAGGAGGAGGAACAGGAGCACTGCGGCGTGGTAAGCGCCGGTAGTAGGGAAGTGTCTCGTTGAAGGTAACGTCACGAGAGTGGTAAAAGAAGCGGTGTGACGGGTGGTAGAACAGCCAGCCAGAAGCGTCAAGTGGAAACCCCAAGGAAGGGTGCGGGCTGAGAGCTTGTCTGCGCCAGTTTGATGGACGTGAGCAAGGCTGCCCCAGACGTAGAACGCACACGCGTCACCAGGAGACCGAGTCTAGAGGAGGATCCGCGAAACCTGTGGCCGCTAGGAGTGCGGCCACAGGTTAAGCTGGTAAGCAGCGTAGCGCACGGCGAACGGCCACAAAAAATGGGGTGCACCGGCGTGGACCATGGAAGTGCGAGCCACCTCTATGATCAGACCAATATGTCGCTCAACGACCCCATTCTGCTTTGGAGAGTCTGGCAGTGTGTACGTCTGGCGGATGCCCTCCGCATGACAGAACCGTCCAAGAGTGCCAGAGGCGAACTCGCCACCTCGGTCAGAGTGTAAGGGACCTACAGGTAGGCGGTGGTGGGTGCGAACAGTGAGAAGCCATGGGAGGAGAACGGTAGGCACGTAGGCCTTCCGCTCCAATGCGAACACAGTGGTGAACCTCGAGAAGTCGTCAACAACGACTAGGAAGTAGCGCTCCCGAATCAGACCATGGACCGGGCATGGCCACAGACCTCCATGTGAAGTGTCTGTAGTGGTGTTATGGTAGGAGGAAACAAGGAGGAATGAGGGGCGGCGCACTGCCGGCCCTCGACGCAGGACGTGCACAGTGACGCTACCGACTTAGGCAGGGTGGGGAGCGATGTAGGGAGACCAGTGACGAGACCGTGCTGTGACATATGCCGAAGACGCGGGAGTGCAGGGTGACCTAAGCGGTGGTGCCACAGTATGGTCGGGTGTCCTATGGAGCGACAAGAGCAAGACGCGGCAACCGCGGCAGACGCAGCAGTCGGCGGGGATTTTGTATGCAGTGTAAAGAGAACGGACCCTGGGTCACGCTCAAACGCAGCTAAGTGCCGACCGGTGGCCGTGTCTACGCAAGCAGCGTGTCTCTCGTGGCCAGGGAACGCAGTGGTAACGCCTCGGTCCTGAAGGTGGCCGACACCCACTAGGTTCCTAGCAAACAAGGGGATGTGCAGACCGGCGAGGGAGCCGGAGGGTACAGTTGGACAGGGGAGAGTGGTGGTGCTACGTGCGGCAGCTGTGGTGGAGGGGTCTGCTAGTGCAACGCGGACAGGCGCAGGAAGCGGGGTGAGAGCAGTGCTAGTCCCTAAAGAAACAACGAGACGCGCTCGAGTTAAGGACAAAAGAGAGGGCCGCTGCAGGAGGGGCAGCGGAGGAGCCTAGTGGACACGTACTAGAGGCTCCTAGACTAGACATTGTGGTGGGACCTAGACCCCTAGTCCCCAAGGACCCCGGTCCTCCAAAGAAACCACAGTGGCCCCAGGGCACTGATCGCCTCGAGGCAGCACCTCCAGAGCCTCCACCTCGATCAACACCCCCAAGACCCCACTGCGGCTTTTGCTGCTGCTGCCCGCTGCTGCTGTTGTGGCTGCGGCACTGGCCAGAGAGCCCGGAAGCAGACGTCGAGGTCGTGGAGCCATAAGCCTAGGAGGTAACTAATGTGATTCTCTAGGAGCGTGAAGTCTAGGTGCGGGCTCACCCGCTGTAGACGGTGGACGAGAAATCAGAGAGCGGAGGGAAGTGCCCGGCGGTCTGGCTGAGGGACTGACCCGAACGAAGCCATCATGCCGAGAGGAGAGGCGTCGAGAACTCTAGAAATGAGGAGGAGACTAGTGGGAGGTATAAGTACTAGGGGAGTACAATCGGAGGTAGTAGCAGTGGCGACTGTGGCCGGAGCAATGGCAGCGAGCACGAGGCTAGTAGCGGCAGCGGCTGGTGCTAGTAAGATGGCAGTAATGGCTAGCTGGCGGCTGGCGGTAGGCTAGGAGCTGCTAGGAGGAGTGGGGAGCAAACGAGGAGGAAGTACGCGTGAGAGGATCTACTAGGATCAGTATGCCAAGGAGCTAGCTAGGAGGCGCGAGGACTTGCGACACAGGACAAAGGACAGTCCATAGGGCAGGCAGCCGACTGGCGGTTGGGGGCCAGCTGCCGCTGGCGGCTGGTGGTCAGCGGCCGGCCGCGAGTGGTGGCAGCTGGCAGCTAACGGCTGAGGGTCAGCGGTCGGCTGCTGGCGGCTGGTGACTGGTGCTGGCGGCAGGTGGCTGGCTGCTGGAGGCCGAAGCTGACGGTGAGCAACAGCAGTGGCGACAGGAGTAGCAGCGGCGGCTGCAAAGGCAGAGGTGGCTGTAGCGGTAGCGGCTGCAGTGGCGGCAACAGTGGCTGCGGTAGTGGCGGCAGCAACGACAGTGGGCGGCAGTAGACAGCAGCGGGGTGGCAGCGGGCAGTAGTAGCTGCGGTAGTGGCAGCGGGTGACATCAGCCGGCGCTGGCTGCTGGCTGTGGGCTGCTGGCTGTTGGCTGCTGGCTGTGTGCTGTTGGCGGATAGCGGCTGGCGCTGGCTGCTGGCTGCTGGCGCCAGCTGCTGGCACTGCTGGCTGCTGGCGCTGCTGGCTGCTGGTGCTGCCTGCTGGCGCTGGCTGTTGGCGCTGGTGGCGCTGGTGAGCCAGCGAGCTGGCTGCTGGCTGCTAGTGTGGCTGCTGGTTCTGCTGGCATGCAGGCGAGCAGGCATGCTGGTGAGCAGTGGAGCAGGCAAGCAGGCGGGCAGGCGAGCTGGCGTGCAGGTGGGTTGGCGAGCAGGCGGGCTGGCGGGCAGGCGAGCAAGCAAGCAGGCGAGCATGCGAGCTGGCGAGCAGGCGAGCAGTCGAGGGTGCGAGTTGTCAGAAGAAATATAGCATTTGGGTTGTACCCACTAAGAACATACCCTATCTAGCCTATAACTTCTACATACCAATATATGTATAAGTTGACACACGGCTCCTTCCTACTCCTAGCTAGCATTCTAGTATTCTAACAATACCCTCCCTAGAGAGAGAGGAGGATCGACAGGGCTATCCCAGTACCACGACAAATCCAGTAACACCTACCAAGCCTACCATTATACATATCAAATATAAAGTTTAACAAAGCATGGCTAATAAACTCACTAATAAACTCACTAACACATTTGGCCTAAAGAGAGTCTAAGCTCCAGGTCGATTGGAGGCACACAGTTGAGCGTGCTTCCCTCGTTAAGCCCCACAGATCCCATGTCCCGGCCAACGCCGTTCACACCAAGGCTGATGCTAAGGTCTTCCACTGATCCACTCTGAAACCTCTTCAGGTGCTCTGTAAGACCCAAGCAAATCATCTTCCCTGGGCTGCCTGCAGCCGTCTCTTCCCTGGAATTTGACAAAGGAATGCCTCCACTACCTATAGCATGCCTAGTCTTAGAGTAGGGAATCCATGGTGCAGCTGTTGGCGCTAATGGCTTGCTAGCAAGGCTGGAGGAAGCTTCAGCCTCATGGTTGCCGGGAGCCATGGCAGGTGCAGCACAGTGAAGAGCAGCAACAGCACGGGTAGGTGTGAAGGCAAGGGCAGCGGTGCTGCCAGAGGCGGTGGGAGCAGCACCAGCACCGCTAGAAGCACCAGCAGCAACGCTGGTGGGTGTATGTTGATGGGTGACGGCAGACGACTGACTGGCTGAGCGGGCCAGAGTCCACAGCTCCGATGCGGCTGCTGCAGAGATGGGTGCTTGCGGAAGAGCTGCTGGTGCAGGTGAAGATTCCGAAATCATTGCTGGGAGCGCTGAAGACCTTGTACTGCTGTCTGCAGGGATCTTAAGTGAAACAGCAGGTTGAGTTAGGCTGGTCGAAGCCAGCACTTGAGAGCTTGCGCCTGTGCTTTTGCTTCTGACAATGGCCTCGCCAAAAGCTGCATTCTCAACTGGCAGATGCATGGTAAAAGCAGGTCTGGGCACATTGGGTGCATTGATAACAGCTTCACAGCTCACAGCACGGAACGCTCCACTCATTGCCAGGATCGGCGCATGCGGGCACTGGACAGGTAAAGGTATCACCGGGAGATCCGCAGCCACTGTGCAAGCCACCACAGGTGATCCACCACCAACTTCAGAAGTTAGTAGCGCAGAGGTCCAAGCACTGCTCCTGGTCACAGGCAGGGCTGCTACTGTTGCCGCTACTACTGCCAGCCCATCGCATGTGGAGGCCAAGGAAGAAAACCTTCGCTTCTGGCCGGCCAAAGAAGCAGCCGTTCCAGCAGGTGGATGGGCGGCACTGGCACTGACGCTGGCAGCGGGAGTGGCAGTGCCTCGTGCAGCAGCAGCCATGCAGCGAGGGCTCACCCACGACGATGCAAGCGTCTGGTGGTTGTGCGAATGGCGGTAGGTCGTCGTCATGTGACCAGGGGAGCCGGGTGATGCTGCTTCTCCTGCTGATGATGCTGACGTGGACGATGATGGAGAGGACGGGGAGGGTCCAGCGCACTTCAAGGCAACCCCACGGGCGGAGTCTTCACCGAGCACGCCCAGCACGTCCACAATCTTCCTGGCAGGGCAGAGGAACCCCGCACGGCCCTTCTCCGTGTTCACCCCGTGGCTGCATTTGAAGTAGAGCCTGCAGGGCGAGATGCAAGGAAGAACAAGATTTCTTATTCCAGTAGCTCAGAAAGTTCCTAATTAGAGGGAGATTCTTTAAGATAGAACAATCTTTCATATAATCTTGGGGCTTAATGGAAGTGCAGCAAGTCCTCAGCTTCATCACAGATAAAGCAAGCTGAAAATGTGCTCAAAACGAGGCACGTTGGACATCAAATGCACACCCCTTCTAATATAGCTGACTGTTTTCTTGGGTCTCAACGTTACCTCGTTATTGAGCGTCCTCCTTTGGAAGAGAGCACCTTCTCGCCGTACTTGAGCCATTTGAATATCTCAATCTGGTCTGACGCGGCTGGCAGCGCCATGTGAAGAACAAACACACCGTGTGACACGTACGCACACCCCACACACACAGGCTGTGTGACACAGAAAAAACACCAAGCAGCTGCTGGGCCGGAAGATGTAGTAGTATTCTGGGAGCAGCTGTTTCTGGAGAAAGCTGACAGTCTGAATGTTCCGTGAAGACTCTTCAAGGCTGTAAAAGCTCTGGGTCTGCCTGATCCCAAAGGGCAAACCCTAGGGAAGGGAAGGGAGCAGTTCTGGAAGGATAAGTGTTCCACTCCGCTCCCTTCCGCTCCCCTTTCCCGTCCATCGCAGCACTGCAATGGCGAGCGTGCTTGCTGCGCAGTCGCAAGTTCGCAAACGTTCTAAAGTCTAGACAAAAACGGATGATGAACATTGGATTTCTGCTTTATTATTCGATTTTCTCTTGGAGGTGAACTTTCATCTCGGCCATCAGACAGTTCAGACCGCCTGTTGGGGCAGGGGTACTACTCGTTTCGAACGACTCCAGCTTTTAACTGCTGAAGTCAGGGTGCACTTGAGAAATGCCACTTAAAGAATTCTCGCTGTCTCTGCCTTTGCCACTTAGTTACTAGTATTCGTAACAATTTCGAGTTTTCCTATTTTTGCTCATGTAAATACCACCTCGGTCCTTTCTCGAGGCTCGACCGCCTAGATCCCAAGAATGACAGCTGGCTTAAGTGCGATCGGCACAGTACGGTGGACGGCGAACGCGCGTGAATCTGATTGGCCGCGTTAGGGACAGATTCACTCATACGACCTGTATGGGGAAAGGCCTGACGACGACCATTCATTAGTTTTGTGGAACTTCGTGAGGGTGGTTGGCAGGTTCGTGAACGGGGAAGGATTCGTTTTGTACAGTGAACAGTGGCTGGATAGAGCAGTTGGCGCAACGGACGAACACCACAGGTTTCCGTTTCGCTTGAATATACCCTAAATCTTGTTTGTCTCAACCGCTAACAAATGCTTAACACCACAGGTTACCGCTAACCTAAAAACCCATTAAAAAAAAAAAAGCGGATGGTCATTGCGAAGAAAACAAACGCAGCCAGCCTAACATACACGCGTGATTCTAACGAGATTTAGAGTGTATGTGCTGTGCTGTCCTGCGAGTTGGGCTCACGTACGGCTGCCGGTGACATGAATCTCGACCTGCCCTCGCCTTGTGTGCCAGACAAACGAGGCTGGTGGTGCTGACCCCAAATTGAAAACGGGGCTTATGGCGTGTCCAGAGTGCAATTCCGACATCCGACAACACTCGTCGGACGCCGAGGCCGACATCCGAAGATATCCGAGCAAGGCATCCGTGGATGTCGAGACTGGGGTGTCAGTACTCGGGAGGTCGTTCGACTGCGCAATTCTTAAAGCTCGCGTCTCATATTTACTCCCGGACCAAAGGTATTACCTTTGGTGGGGGGTTCTAATTGGGGGGCGAGAGGCGAAATTTTGAAAGTGAGTGGGCGAGGGTTGCGACAGTTTTGAAAATAGTTGAGGGTCCAACTTTGACGAGGCTTGGAGTCTCATATTTATGCAGAGCCGTATTACGTTTGGTTTGAGCACACGGAACATTGGGGGCGTGGATGTTGGGGTCGGGCTCTCAAAGTTTTGCAAGTAGTTGCGATTCCAGTGTTGGATTTTGGGCCGAAATTTTGTTGCGTGAGACGTTTCGGGTCCTGATTCCGTATCACCAACACAGGTTCCGAAAACTCGGTTATTACGACTGAATCTTCGGGTTCGCTTTGCTGAGGTTGTATCTTTCTCTCGCACTCACTTGCGAGCCCTCGCATAAAGAGAAACTACGTTACCTAGTACCAAGAGTATTACCTTAGGAAATATGAGACGCGTGCTTTAAGGAAGTGCATGGGCATGTGGGGGCTCTGAAGGTGCTCCGAGTTGGGATTGGTCGCCATGTGACCACTGACGTCAGCCTGCGATTTTCGAACCGCGCCCGAATATCGCAATGCCTTTCTCGCCCCAATGGCTCCTCAATACTATCAAGTTGGTGGTATGATCATCTGCAAAGAGTTGTTGTCCCACATCTGACCCCTCCATAGCGATGTCCCCAAATTGGCCGAAAAGATACATGCGGGCTAGTTGAGGGACAGTTTCGCACGAAAATGACCCGAAACTATCAATCGTACTGACCCAAATCTAGCCCTCTTCCAGAAGACACCTTGGCACTCCGCAGATCGTTGAAGACGCGCGTTCAATTCTCGCCAACATTGTATTACGATGTTAAAATATTAGACCTGTTAGATTCCATTCATTGTACAGTGGAGACGCAAGATCGAATCTCGCCATCAACATATGATCAGCTGACATTTTCCCCGTTGTGCGAGTTGAAGTCCTTTGCAGGTCAACAGTACTTTATAAAATTGTACTACTATAGAAATGTTACTCCCAACTACATCACGTAAAATGATAGCAATGTGGATTCTAATTTTGTGTGTAATAATATTTTTTTTAATTATATTATTTCCCATATGGGTGATCTTGTTGAATAATTACACAGTAATTGAATTTTTTTTTTAATTTCAAATAATGTTTCTCTCAAGCAAATAAGTATAGATATGCTTTTTTATAATCGCATTTTAAACGACCGTTACACATTTCCCGTTTTGTAAGGAAATTCCCTTTTCTTTACTGGGCTCGACTGCAACGCGTACACCCTCAACTCTCGGAAGTCCAGGCCCAGCCAACTTCTTCGGTCCCGAACCACTTCGCGAACCCAAGCTAACGCGTGGCGCTTATGTGGCGTTCGCCAATTGGACCGCCCCAACCTATTCGCGTGGTTCTCGGCTAGTTCTGTTCGTGCCTATAAATGCCTAGGCGCTCATTTGTATTGGCGCTCTTGAATCATGACTCCTTTGTTACACTATTTGTTATTACTCATATTGATTCATAACAACTAATATTGTCACAGGATCGAATGACTCGAGGATCGATTGCACTATCGATCAGTACAAGGCGCTTTTATACTTCCAGAGTACATCAGTTAACCAGGTTTATCCTATCTAAAGAAATAGACCCTTCTAGAAAATAGAATCACCCTGCGTATAGCCACGCGAGGCTATTGGTTTTAAGGGATTACGGCAGGATTACGCTAGATAGCGTGTCTGAAACATACCATGCCTGGTCGGTGATATAATAATAATAAAGGAAGAAACCAAAGGATAAGGGAAAATGGGAAATGTGAGGCCACAAGAGATGAGATAAAAAGAGGAATGAAATGAAGATGAAATATGGAAAAGGCCAAGTGGTGTAACGAGGTCGTACTCTCACACTTCCCCCCCTCAAAGCTGGGTGGTAGAAGTAACACCCTGCTTGACAAGGTAGTCATGCAGAGGACGACGGGCGTTACCCATGTCGGTCTCAGAGACCCAGCTGTCCTCAGAAGGATCATAACCCTTCCAGCGAATAAGAAGCTCCACGGTACCATTCCGACGACGGCGGTGTGCAAGCACGGACTCGACCTCGTATTCGGGTTCATTTGGGACGAGGACGGGTGGCGGCGGCGGCGGTTGGCGTCCGACGAAGATCGTGTTAGGATCCCGATAGGGCTTCAGAAGTTGGACATGGAAGGCGTTGTGAATCTTCCAGGTAGCTGGCAGGCGTAAGCGGAAGGTAACAGGAGTGACCTGTGCTTCAACGAGAAAAGGCCCGCAGAAGCGAGGTCGAAGTTTAGATGGGAGATGGCTGATGTCCAGGTTACGGGTGTCGAGAAGCACCTGGTCCCCCACCGTGATGTTGTGGTCGTTGCGATGGCGATCGGCCTGGCGCTTCTGTTGCTGTTGAATGTCAAGGAGGCGCTTATGGGTCCGATCCCAAAGCTGATGCATGGTTGTGATGAAGTCGTGTGCAGGTTGGACTGTTGCTGGTGTTGGCGGTTTCTGTGGTGTGAGTGGGTGGCGTCCGTAGCAGAGGAAGAACGGCGTCTGTCCCGTAGCGGCGTGTGTAGCGTTGTTGTAGGCAAACTCTAGGACGGGCAGATGCAAGTCCCATTTGGAGATCTCGTCCTTGCAGGCTGCTCGGAGGAGTTGCTCAACAATCTGGTTAAGGCGCTCGGTCTGTCCGTCTGTCTGCGGATGATATGCGGATGACATGGCGAGTTTGGTGCCGAGCAGAGACATAACTTCCTTCCAGAACTTGCTGGTGAACATGGGGTCTCGGTCGGAAATGAGTGTGGTTGGGATGCCATGCTGTGAGATGATGTGACGAACGAAGAGCTGTGCTGTCTGCTCGGTGCGTGCTGTCGTGTGTGTCGGGATGAAGTGTCCCATTTTGGAGAACTTGTCAATGACGACGAGGATCGCGTCATGACCGCTGGTGGTAGGTGGTAACCCGGTGATGAAATCCAGGCTAACGACTTGCCATGGTTGTTCTGGGACGGGAAGAGGCTGTAGCAGTCCTGCTTTCTTCTGCTTACTGCTCTTCATCCGTTGACATGTATCACACGAGGTGACGAACTTCTGAACGTCGTCTGCCAAGTGTGGCCAGTAGTAGTGCTTCGCGATACCGGTCAGCGTCTTGTTGCTACCGAAGTGGCCGGCGTATAGGACGTCGTGGTATTCTTCGAGTAGTAACTGGCGCAAAGGAGGGTAATTGGGTACCCAAATTTTCGTTGATCCTTTCCGGTACGCGATGTCACTGTCCCACTGTAGCAGGTGTCGTTTTTCTGCCAAGGGAATTTCGGGGTCGATGGCGTACCCGTGTGTGAAGAGTCCCTTGAGTAGTGGATTCATCCCTTCAGCCTGAATAGCGGCAACGTGTGCAGTCCGGCTGAGAGCGTCTGCTTTGTTCTTGTGGCCGGGCTTGTACACGATGTCGTAGTGGAAGTGCGTCTCGAGGAAGTCGATCCACCGGACCTGCCGCCTGGAAAGGTTAGGTTGTGTCTTCAAGTATTTCAGGCTGCAGTGGTCGGTGTAGACGGTCGTTCTTCGTCCTTCGAGATAACATCTCCATGCTTTGAAGGCGATGACAATAGCAAGAGCCTCTTTATCGTGTATCGGGTAGTTTAGTTCTGCCCCGTGTCGTTTCTTGCTGAGGTAGGCAATTGGTTGCAGTCTATTCCCCTGGTCTTGCATCAAGACTGCCCCCACGGCCTGATCACTGGCGTCTGCTTCAATGACGTAGTCACGTTCGGGATCTGGCAAGATGAGCACCGGTGCGGATGTTAGTGCTTGTTTCAGCTGCTCCACGGCTTCCTGGTGCTTCGTCTCCCATTTGTAGGGCGTGTTCTTCTTCAACAGATTCGTGAGTGGTGCCGCGAGTTTCGCATACTGTGGCACGAACCTGTTGTAGTAATTAGCGAAGCCTAGGAACTGCTGCAACTC